GGGACACGAAAAAAACCAAGAATAATCGTGATTCCCAACTTTTCGGTCGTTCGAAGTTGATGTAGTTGGCGACGAGGCGACCATGCTTGGTCGAACAACAGCGCCAAGAATTGGCAGCAATAAGGGCCCCGATCGGGCGTGGGGCGGGTTTTTTTTCTGGGCCTCGCCCGGATGTGGCTCCGGCCTTTGGGCGGGCCCCAGACATCGCGCCGGGCTTGCCTGTCGACCACGGCAGGAAGGCTAGTGGCAAATCAACGCGCGCATTTTCCCCGTTGTTTGCCGTTCTTTGGCTCCTTGCTTGCGGCGCTAAGCTTTTCCGCGCTGTGCGGAATTGCTCGCGCACACAAAAAGGGCGGGGAGATGTGAAGAACGCTACTTGCCCCGACATGCGCCCTCCCAATATTTGGGCGAACAACCCGGCAACCTAAGACAATGCCCAGAGCAGTTTTTCAATTTGGGCGCACCGCGCCGAGCGGAAAAATGGCCGGCCCACGCTGCCCGCGGACTCGTCTGGCTACTTGCCGCCTGGCAGCCGTGCCCCGGCCGGCGGGGCCAGAGCGCTGCAGGCTCCGGGCCCTAACTTCCTCCGGCCTCTTCTGGTCTTTCTTGCGCAACAACCACTCCGCCTCGTCATTGGATGGGGGCGTGGTCGCGTGGCCTGGCGCCGTGTTTTTTCCCGGCCTTCCTGTTGAACGTCGGCCACCCCAAGTCAGGGGGGCGCACCCGCCTGGGTGAGCACTGGTTGCAGCCACCCGGCCCCAAAGAACAGGCGCGCCACCTTTGTTCATCTTCCCCTCTTGCTCCCGATGTTCCGAGGGGAATGAAATATCCTGCGCCCGCCCAACTACAATTACATCGCACCGTGGCGCGCTCTTTGCCGCGTGCAAAATTTCAAATCGGCAACAGAAAAAAGCCCGCCGAATGCGTAAAAGCCAGGGGCCGCGATGGTTCTTCAGGCGGTCGCGAGCGGGCCCCGCGGCAGCAGCGGCGCTGCGAATATGCGCAACGCCGAGCAAAAATCCCGCGAAACCTCACACCCGACTCAAGGTCCCAAGAGATGGCCGACCCAAGAATCTTGGTTTTTTCCCGGTTTTTTTTTCCGCATCTGGCCAATTCTTGGCCAAAAAGGGCCCTTTTGGCCAAGAAATCCGCTTTTTGGCCAAGAATTGGCCAAAAGGGAGAAAAAAATCCGGGAAAAAACCAAGATTCTTGGTTCGGTCATTTGTTTGGGAGGAAGGATTTTTGCTCATTGCTTGGCAATTTGCGAAGGAAAATGCCGCGCGGTGGGCCGCTTCCGAAGCGCTTCGTGACCGCCACACCCATAGACGAAACGCGCCCGCGGGGGTCAGCAATCGTCGCAGAGGTTGGGGCGCGCGGGAGCCTCCAGGACAAAGCCGCGCAGGCAATAACACACGCCCACACCGCAAAACGGCTGCGCCTGCTGCGACGTGAATGCCAGCGCCCAGGCCCTGAAGGGTGCAATGTAAGGCGCACCCGCTTCGGCGCCGCCATTCTTTCTACAGTCAGGGCCCGGGCCGGCGTGCGCTGGGTTGGCTGCTATGGCGCCGCGCTTTTTCCTGTTTTCGGTTTGCTTCTTTGGCAGCCAAGGGAGGTTTCCCCCCGGATGTCAGTCAAGCAGCAAGGTGAGCATATTTGAAAGCAGCCACCCAGGCTGCGGGGTTTTGGTTTGTTTTTCCGAAGCCAATTTTCCCGAGGGGCAACGGCCGGGCCCATGCAAGGCCATTCGTAGCCCGCAGGAGCGCCGCCGCTTATTAAGTTCTCCGTGTCCCGCCTCCTGGCGTTTTCCATGTATGCCAAGAAGTTCGCAGCAAATACTAGCGGCGCGTCTCGTTGATTGTGTGCGCCAGCAGGCGCAGGGCGCACCCTTGGCTCTTCCTGGCGTCCCTTGCCCCCCCCCCACAGGATTCGAGTCCACACTCTCAAAGATGCTGAAGGATAAACATTCAACCTGACGGCTCGTGATGAGTTACATGGTCTGACGGTTTCGTGACGTTTTGAAAAAAGAAAAGCGAAAATTTTACTGTGGCTCGGCACTACGATAGCTTCGGGCGATAGGCGGCAAAGCCATGCCGCGAAACACACCGCGAAGCACCATTGGTCCTACCCCAGGACAGTGTCTGCCTGGGGAGCGTGCACGCATGTCGCCACACGCGTTGAAAATTGTGTGGGCCCCCATAACACAAAAAGACGAAAGAGCAAACCCCAAATGCCCAACGACTGGCATCCCACCAGCCAACGCAGGGGCGCGCAACGGCTGGACGTTGGCCATATTCTGGGTTGCCGCCTGACGTTTCCCATGGGCGCCTTTGGTGGTAAGTAGCTAGGTAGGCCCTCAGGTAGCCCAAGAATGAAATGACGCAATTTGACGGAATGGTGACAAAACCGTCACAAGTTGGAAGGCGGTTCCAATTTGGTTAGTGACAGTTTTTCTTCCCCGATGGTATGCTCCGTTTTAGCGGAATTTCTGACGAAACCGTCACAAACCGTCAAACAACCGTCACAAACCGTCGCCAGAACGTCAAATATCCTTCCCACAAACCGTCACTCATCTGTCACGAGACTACCAACCAACCAGCAAGGAGACACCACGGGTCCGTCAACCTGCGCGCCGAGCAAGATTGTGCACATGCTGTGCCCCCACTAAGCCGAAAGGAGAAGCGAAGCTTGCCGACCCCGCCTAAAGGGGAGGACGCCAAAACCCGCAACAAGGCAGGACACACACCCAGAATCAAAACCGCTGCGGCTTGACCCTAGGATGAGCGCACCCACGGCCCATATTTGGAACGAACCCGTTACACATCCACACACACCACAAAAACATGTGGGGACGAGGATTCGAGTCCACACTCTCAAAGATGCTGAAGTCAAGAGGTCTGAATTTCCAAGATGAGTTAACTGAATTAAATGAGTAAATTTTTTTTGCAATCGCCGGCCTTCCGGGTCGTTGGTGATTCTGTCTGGCCGAACGGTACCGCTTGCGGCCGCAGTCCTTCGCTATCGCTGGCGGCCTGCCCGGTTTCCACAAACGGGCGCGGGGACTGCGTAGTGGCTGCCGGAACTGCTAATGCCGTCGCGAAGGCCGGTTCCGTTTGAATGAGACTTCGTCTCCCGTCGCGCACCAAATGACCGCAGAGACGAAGGCGGCCCGACACTCTCCTGCACCGTGGACCCATAACGCCAGCCTGGCTTCGTCGACGGCTGCTCGTCCAGGTCGACACAAGTTTCGGACCCTCCAATGCTGTCCTAAAGTTCACATACGTCCACAAGCTTTCCTCCACGACCTAGCTAAAGCACCTAAAAAACAACCGAAGTCGGGGTCTCTCCTTCAGATAAAGGTAGCGCCCGGAACATCCAAAGTAGTAAAGAGGTCATTGCTAGCTCTGCGGAATTGATTGGCGATCTTGTTTGTCACGAGTTTGTCGCTGCCTAGTCGAAGAGACCGGCGACCTTGCTTTCAAAAAGATCTTTGTTCTTGCCGCCCTTTTTGAACACCGCAGTACTGCCACTGCTGGAAGAAGATGCATTTCCGCCGGCGTTTTTCTTCGACTTCTGCAGGTCCTTCATCTTCGCTGCCACCACCGCGACGTCCGCATTGGTGATCTTCTTGACCCGCTTTGCACCGCCCTTCTTGTTGGTGTCCGGCTCATCATCTTCGTCCACAATAACGGCGTCGTCCTTCTTCTTCGTCGCATTGTTTCTCTTGCGCTTGTTATTTTGCTCCCGATTGGCCTGCTCCTTGATGATCCCGATATCATTGGCCAGGGCTACCAGCTTGCCCGCTTCAATGTTGGTGAGAAACTTGCTGCAGTTGTTGCGCAGGTTGTCGGCCTGCTCGGTGATCAGCATCAGCTGCGGGCTCTTAAGGGTCTTGAGTTTGTCCTTGTTCTTCTGGTGATTCAGCAGCGCGTTCTTGTGCGTAAGCGCGCAGGAGATTTTCGAGTCGCCCAGGTGGTAGTTGAAGGAGTCCTTGTAGACCGCATCGATCTCCATCAGTGGGGCCTTCGCCACCCTCGCCTGCGCCTTCTCGTCGTCCAGGGTCAGATCGATGTATTTGATCGCGCGGGACGCTCTGACCTCGTCAATCGAGCCCGCCTTCGAAAACTCCAGGGCGAGGAGCAAGTCCTCGGCCACACGTTGCGACCTGTTTATCGTTTTTTGGGACGAGGATTCGAGTCCACACTCTCAAAGATGCTGAAGGATAAACACGAAGTGCAACCATATGAACGGACAAAATGCAAAACGGGACACGAAAAAAACCAAGAATAATCGTGATTCCCAACTTTTCGGTCGTTCGAAGTTGATGTAGTTGGCGACGAGGCGACCATGCTTGGTCGAACAACAGCGCCAAGAATTGGCAGCAATAAGGGCCCCGATCGGGCGTGGGGCGGGTTTTTTTTCTGGGCCTTCATGCGGAAAACGCCCGGGCGGTTTGCCTTTCTAAAAGACTTCTAATTTTTCCGGTTTTGAAAAAAAAAGCCCAACCCATTTGCCCCATCCGCGGATCGGGTGGGAATCAAATCAAAAAAAGGCGCCCACACTACCCAGGAAGAAAGAGGAGGAGAGAGAGCCGCCGGCCCGGCGACGCAGACAACCCGATGGCAGGAGACTTACGATGAGGCGACGGGGTGCAACAAGAAATCAAGACAACCACTCCCAAACCAGAAACCCGCCAGGACGATCGCAACACGCCCTTCCAACGCGGCGATCACAACAACCTTCGAAAGCCCGACCTTTAGTTCCGACGTCTAAAGCCCTTCTCTCATTTCCGCCTCTAATTCCCGCCTCTAAAACTGGCCTCTAAAGTCGGCCTCTAAAACCGGTCTCTAAAGCCGGCCTCTAAAGCCGGTCTCTAAAACCGGTCTCTAAAACCGGTCTCTAAAGCCGGTCTCTAAAGCCGGTCTCTAAAACCGGCTTCTAAAACAGCCTCTAAAAAGGCTTCTAAAATATCCTCTAACTTCGTCCTCTAAAAATCCTCTAATTCTTCCGCCGGCATGGCAGTTTTCGGACTTCTAAAAATCCTCTAAAACTGCCATACAGGCGAAATCACACACAAAGTCGCGATTTTGTGATTTTAGAAGACGAAATAGAAGAACTCGGGACGCCAAAACCGGAAGCGGAACCGGAAGATTCCGGCTCCGCTTCACGCGAACATCCAGTGCCGGACATCCCGAAATGTTTGCTTCGGACCTGCAGGAGATGACGTTCGTGTTCGAAACCACGAACATCATCTCCCGGCCCTCGACAAACGATCTACTTCTTCGAGCCAGCGGTGCATGTGCGGGGATGCGAAGAGGCGCAGACCGCTTCGCATCTCCAGAGAAGACGGGCAAGCCCCTCGCCTACCACCCACATTGTGCGCCACCCTCCAATGTACATCTACACCCACCAACGACCACCCTGGTAGCCCAAAATTGCGCGGAACCACTTTACCCAAAAAACAGCCCTAATTTTTAAATTTTAAAAGTGCACGGGACGAGGATTCGCGTCCACACTCTCAAAGATGCTGAAGGATAAACACGAAGTGCAACCAACATATGTGAAATATTTTTTCAACACGAATCACATCACACGAAATCAAGCGAACGACAAGCCTCTGCAGTTCCTTTGGATAAATTCGCCTATTTGGTAGTTTTGTTTACTCTCTCGCAATCATTCTTCAACTCCAAGCTAAACTCGAACAAAAGACAAAGACGGCTCTCGGTGTAACTCGCTTCGAATAGACACAGCATATCAGGCTGCGCCTGTGCTCTGGATAGTGTAAAATGAACGAAGATATGGTATCCAAATCAGGAGCTATGCTACAACGATACACAGCGAATCGCAAAAATTAAAATCAAAAAGACCGACATAAATGAACAACGGGAGAGACTCTCACTATATTGAGGCTCTGGTTCTGCAAGAACGTTTTTGTTTTTTCTCGGGGGCAGCTCGTTCTTTCACAAGAAAGTGCAATTTTCATATTCTCCAATGCTGTAAGATTCTACCTCACCACCTTGTCGAAAAACTGCACATTTCCGTCGTCTCCAGTCGCGACGAGCGTTCCACAGCTGGCCACCACGACTGCGCGAATGGCGTTCTCGCAGATTTTCTGCTGGCTGCGCATTTCCCCACTCACAGCGTCGACGAAGGTAAGGAAGCCGTGGCCGTCGCCTAGCACCAGGGTGTTCGCAACCAGGTTCGCGGTGTAGACAAAGTCACCCGAAACAGGGCCTAGCTCAAAGAAACTCGATCCCGCAGTAACATCCGTCCACTTCACGACACCGTCCGCGCCCACCGTGAGAATGTTGCGCTCGCCGTGGACCAGGATGTTGTTCACAGCTCCCGTGTGGAGCGCGAAATTGTGGGCGCATCTCGCCTGCCGCGGATCCCATGCCCGCACGTGTCCATCCTGCGCGCCGGTGAGGAATAGAGTTGATGTTGGTGTAGCTGGCATTGCAGCAGACTGCGGCTGTGAGGATTCTTCTTCTGGGCGAGGAGGACTACACGCCATGTCTTGCAGCGCAGTGATGTGCCCCTTGTGGCCAGTGAGCGTCTGAATGCAGGTTCCGGTGGTGGATGATCGCGCTCGCCCGAGGTCCCACAGCTTGCAAACCCCAGACCGATCGCCGGAAAGTATGAAGCTGCTGTCCTGCGCAGAGGAAGTAGTGGATCCACCTCGTGATGACCACAGAAAGTCCAGCACTGGCGCGGAGTGCCCTGCCAGTGTGCAGGCTTCCCGCTTGGTTTTCAGATCCCACACCCGCAGTGTCTTGTCGTACGACGCGCTCACGGCGAGCGTTCCTTTGGCCAGGATTTTTGAGATGGACCCCCGATGCCCAGCAAGCTCCTTGCAGGCGATTCGAGCGGCGGCGCTGCTTCTGCCTCCACGGCCGCGCGCAAGTGCAGCAGTTGAGCTACTTGACGATCCGCCGCCTCCGCCACTCCAAACACAGATCTTACTGTCCGCGCCACCGGATATGACCGTTGACTCGTCGGCTTCGGCGTAGCAACAGGCAGTCACCCAGTCCTTGTGGCCGAGCGTCTCCGAAGATGGAGCAGAAAACAACCGCGATACAGTGCCACTACTCACTTCCAATTCTTTTACCAAATGGTCGCAGCCTCCCACGAGAACGTGCGTGGCGGCACGGTTTTTGGCCATGCACAGAATGTTCCTGTCACTCACATCTATCCATCGCCCGGCGGCCCAGTGTTCGCGTTCCTGACCGTGTTTGACCGACGTCCAAGAACTGGAATTAGAAGCGATTTCGAAGTGACGCAGTTCCTGCAACGGTGAACCACCAGAAACAGGAACTTCTTCGGTTTTCATATTGGCAGAACACATTTCTTCGTTGCTACCGTTTCTGACATGTTGTTCAACCTGCACATTCTCGAGCGGCCGCTGCGACGACATCTTCGCAGTTTGTACGTGCAAATATGGATCAGCCTCCGTTCCAGATACACCATCGTCCCTCAGATGTTCTTCGAACTCCCGCATGTATGCGTCGTTTCGCAAGTGCGATGTTGCTGCAGATGTCAACTGCACCGCCGGCCCGCTCTTTTGCACCGGACCTTCCGGCTTTTTCTTTTGCGCCAGTTTCGACCGCAGGCCCGCAGAGAGAGGCGCCGCTACTCCGAGGACGCGAGCTCCTCCACCCCCTGCGGTCGGAGCGCCCGATGCCCGGGTCTCCTGTGTGCTTCGTTGTTGCTTTTTCACTGAGGCTGGAACACCGAATTTCTGATCGCCCTTTATGTGTAACAGGTTAAGTTCCGATGGAGTGGAAGCGGGTTTCCTGCTGTCGTCCGTTGGAGCTGATGGCAGTAGTGGCACCCTTGAACCTCCAAAAGGTTTAGCACCTAGCCGCCTTAGAATCTGTTGTCCATTGGGGCCCTCGAGCGGCAAAAAGATGTCCGAAGACATTTGGTCGGCCAGACAGACCCATTCCCGCCCGTCGGAAGTGATTAGGCTCCCCGTGATGGTCTCGCCTTTCTTGGCCTTGCCAAGCAACTTATCATCCCAATCTGCTGAGCCGCGATGCTGCACTGGCAACAGCACCTCGAATCGCTCAACTTGTTCACACGGCATATTTCGTACTGTATTGAAACAACAACTCCTTGAGATTGTCAGACATTTACAAACGAAACAGATCTAAATAAATCGTGCAAAATCACATCCCTGTACCTTGTTCACGAGCTCCTTTAGGGGCTGAAACGGTTCTCAAGGTTCACTCAGAGAAAGAAAAACCTAAATTCGATCTTGGGAAGAATGGGAACTGACAAATCCAATTGAGCTGCCCACTGTACATAAATTTCCTTATTTCAAAAGGTCGGATTTTCCGTCTCAATCGCTCCTTGTCGATACGAAGGCTTCCGTGTAAGGCGCAGTTTCGTTTGTTCGCTCAGAAAACGAAGAAGTTTGTTGGATGCCAAATTCGCGAAGTTGACCCATGCTCGCTACCAGGCCATCTCAACAGGCCGAACTCCGCTTTCAATGAATGTAATGAGCTTATGAAAGCAGGAGATACAGATAGAGTCTCTGCTTTCTCCTTTTCCCAATCCATAGACCGGGAATCTGACTTTACCAAAACATAGAACTACATGGTCGTATGCAATTCTAAGGAGGCACGCATCATCTTGCACGGCAACATCATCGCTTCAGATATAACCGGTGCGCTCTCTCCGGCCAAAATTCAAATGACGCCAGAAGAACAGTCAGTCGTCACATGTTACAGTTGATTTGCGATTACATATTAAGAAGTTGATTTGCGATTACATATACATACTGAATTTGCCGATAAAAAAAAACAACATTGAGCCAAACTGACGTAAAAAACTAAACCATGAAACCTGACGTAAAAAACAAAACTTTGCTGCTTCTTCTTGAAACGCCACGTAATCAAGACCTGAGAGACGAAAAAGATTACAACTTAGGTGGGTTCCCTACTACGAAAATCAAAATGCATTTAAAGTAATACACCGAATTTGACGTCTAAATTGTACATGAAGCGATAGAAATCAATCGCTGCTGGGCGACGATGCCTTTGCGAAGATGAATCGCATGTCCTCTCGCACAGAGCGCAATGCCGCTTCTGCGCTTTACTTCTAAAACCCTGTTTAGTTTTGCGGTGTGATGTACGCCGACTCCAGGTCCTTCACCGTCTTCTTCATTTCTTTCAGAGAGGCGACCTCGTCGGTTGCGCTCTTGATCTTGCTGTGGAAGACACCGCTGCCGTCGGTGTCCGAAGTTGCCGCGTACTCGCCACCGGAGCCAACACGAGCAGGTCCATCGTACAGGTCGCTCCTTCCCACATACTCCGCGCAATGTTGTCCCGGTGCGGGCAACTTGTTTCCGGGAGCGGGCCCCCACCAGGCGCTTTCGCCGGCCAGGCCTTCGTTGATTTTCTCCATGTAGCGGTTCTGGCTGTTCAAGTCCTTGGTGGCCTCAGCGAGGTCCGTCTGCGCCTTCGCCAACGCGGCTTCAGCGTCGGCAATTTCGTCCTTCGCCGTGGCGATTTGCTCTTGGAAGGATTCGATGTCCTCGGCGGCCTTGTCCTGCAGTTCCTTGACGTTCTTCATCATGGACTCGTCCACCTCGGTGACGATGGAAATGACCTTCTCGTTGCCAGCTTCAATCGCCCCCGTTGCGTAGCTGGACCCGGCCGACTCCGCTGGCCCCTCGACCTTGGTGGGTTCGAACGACTTCAGGAATTCGATGGCCTTCAGGAACAGCGAATGTGCGGCGGACGCCTCTGCGGTCTCCTTCTCCGAGTTCGCGCGCGTGTCCCGGATGTCCTGCGTCAGCTCCGCAATGGCCTTGCTCCGCGAGGCAATGGTGTCGTTGGACTCCTCGATGGTCTTTTTGGAAGCGTCAATGGACTCCTCCAGGTCAGCAATCTGGGCCAGGCGCTTCGTCTTCTCTTCCTTCAGCGTATGCTCGTTCACGGCGTGCATCTTCAGCGCGGCCTCGCAATCCACGAAGTGCTGCTTGGCCTCGGCGATCTCATCGTTCAAAGAGGAAAGCATGTCATCGATCGCGTTGTAGACGGCAGACCACCCATTCTTATGCACTCTTAAGCTGCGGCGTTCTCAACTTTTAAATTGTGGCTGCGAACCCGATGCAGCTGGTTCTCAGGATTTGGAACCGATCTGGGTATCACTAAAACCTTTGCTTCTCACTTTAAAATGAAGAGATCCTCGTCGTGTGCTGCACGGTAAGCACCTAGTATGCACTGCTGCATTAAAACCCCATAGTCGATCCCTAAAAACGCCAGTTTTTACTTGAATTATTTCAGCTAGTTTTTTGAAAATAATCGTGAAGGGAAAACAAACACTAGCCTGTCTCACGCGTATTCTAAAAGTTGAGATTGCGACAGCTGAGGAGGCCATATTACGAGCCTGCTTCTCTTTGGGCGACTGCAACACTTCCGACGCGGCCAGAGTTTCCAGTTTGCAGGAAGTCGGGAAACTCCATGTGCTCCTCGGATTTAGCTGCGGTTTTCATCGCTTCGGGGCTGGACAGCAGCGTGATGGCGCCCGAAATGCTCTCCTCTTGCGCACTCGCTGCCGCGGAGGTTTCCGTGTGGAATCGCGTGTGGTCCGCCAGGATTGTGGTTTGCTCCTTCAGCTGGGCCTCCATGGCTTTAAGGTTGCCCTCCTCGGTCTTCTTGAAGGCCGCTGTCGCGGTATCCAAGAAAAAAACTGTGTAAGTGTAACTTTGTGTTGCAGAAAATGCAAAACTGTTACACTCGTCATGCTGGACATGCATCAGAGGCTATTTTCGTACGTGTTTTCAAGTACTAGCTACGCGTGACAGGTTTTCTGCGTCATGCAGAGCAAACTTGTGATGCTATTCTTCCAAGGGACTTACACTTACACAGTTTTTTTCTTGCATACGTGTCAATCACGCCCGAGTTGTCGGCGATGGTCTCCTTGTGGTCTGCGGAGAGCTCCGAGTCGGCCTTAATTTGCGCCTCCGTTCGCTCCTTGTACGCCGTGAAGTACGCGAGCGCTTCCTTTTCCTTAGCCGTCATAGTCGCCATGTCCGCCTCAAACGTCTATAACAAGCTCAGAAACTAAATTCGAAAAAGTTGCCTGCGTGTGTTTGGAACGCATTTTTGGTTTCTCTTCTACTTGATTGTGATTTTCAGGAAAATCACCGCCACAACGACCAACAATCAACCTACAAGGAATGTTGATATTGAAGCGAATTGCGTACGACTTTTTCTGAGATTTAGATTTGCAACCTTTAACGAAATTCAGGCACGGTGCCTCAACTACCTAAAAAGCTGACGTCTTTTAAATTTAAGTGCTGAGCTTGTCATAAAGTCGTCTTCAAGTTTGTCAGAATCCCGATGATTTGACCGCTGGTTCGTGTTCCCGTCTGGATCATCGAAACTGTCTGCGACAGTGCGTTTCGGGAGCTTCCGCGCATTTTCTCGACCGCCGTCGAAAGGTGCTTCAGCGCGACGCTCCGCGGCACCGCTGAAGTCTGGATCAGCGCTGTGCCTTCCGACAAGATTTTCAGTGCTGCGGTCATTTGCGAGACACCCTCTGTCATGTCGGCCATGTCGGTGTCGTATTTATCCTTCTCCTCTTTGCGCAAAGCCGTCGCATCCTTCAGCTCCGCGGTGTTCTTTGCCACGGCCTCATCGAGTTCGGCGCTCTTCACTGAAAGCTTTTCGTTTTCCGCCCGGAGCTCCTCCAGCTTCGCTTTCGCCTTCTCGATGTTCTCCTCATGCTTCGGGATGTTCTCCTTTGCCTCGTCGATGAGCTCATTGCACACACAGCTGACTTTGGTGTATTCGTCGTCGTTTGCTTTCTTCTGCGCTGCCACGTCGGTCAGTGCTTTTTGCAGCGCATCCACAACCTGTTTAAACACGCCTCCCGTCTTACTCCGACTGCTCAACTTGTTGCGAACCCCTTGCGAGGTCTTTGCGAGGAGACAGTCGCCAGTAGTGGCGGAGAGCAACAACACTCCGCTGAGGAGTGGAGACCGCATTTTTCGCATCAGACCTCGCAACTAGTGAAGACTAAACAACGAAGAACCGCGCCTCTGACAATGACAAAGTACGTTTTAGATTATCTTCAACATGATGATCTGCTGCACCACCGTCGTGCATTTGAGATCGTGTGGATCGTGATCGAACTTGGACCTAAAGACAATCAATGGTGTGTATCAAAATCGAAAATTGAAAACACACGAACACGCATAGTTCGCAAAGGACCCAACAACGAAAAATAAATCACTGCAAGTGCAATCTTGGCTCTTTTTTTTTCACTTTCAGGCAGAGCCATATTAAGCTCGCACCCCGGTCTACGTAAATTTAAAACGCGCAAAAGTTCTTGATTGCGCGCCCAATCATCGCACTGTTTTCCTTGTCAAATACAGACTCGATCCTTGTCTTTCCAGCCTCCGAATTAGTTTTTCGGAGGTTGGGTTCTAAAAAATGCGCGCGCGCACCTTCACGCCATTGACTTTTAGTTTTGCAGTGATACGGATTGATACTTGTTCATAAAACTTTTGTCCCTGTTCGTTATGTTTATTGTGTCATGCTATGTACAAGAAACTCCCTGCCGATTTTTCCCTTATGCAAGCAGTCTTCCCGATGCAACTTTTATTTTCAAAGAAAACCCATTCCCGACCGGAACGAACTGCTCCTATCAAAGTCACCCACCTGACGAAAAACGAGGTCCTACATGGGTAGCAGGTCGTCGCCGAGGTCGTCGTCACCCCAATCATCATCCATGTCATCCTCACGCGGCCCGCCGGTTTGCAGTTTGCGTTTACTTCTTTTGTCGCTGGCGATTTGAACATCGTCTACCTCAAATAGCGAGCCCCCGGCGCCTGCGAAGACATTTTAAATTTTGTAGTATGGTTATGCTATGGATTTTTTTTTGCGACTCCAGCTTTCTAAAACGTGTCGCGCCTCAGAGAAAAAAGGCCGCGGTGCACCGCTCCTGTTGATACTAGGAAAACAAAAGAACTGAAAAACAGTCGGACAAAAAAGAGCATGTTTTGAAAGGATTTTTTTTGATTTAGATTGCTAGCAGAGCCGCGCTTTGCTCCGAGATTGCGGGAGACGTTCGTGAGGACCGCCAGCACGGTTCCGCTATAGGTTTAGGCAATGGCACTTTTTAAATTTTGGGATGCGTTTTCACTCGCGTTGCACAAAAAGGGCGACAGTCCACATCCACTTGTGTAAAAATTTAGAAAAGTACTCGGTGCCGCCGCCCGGCCGGCCTCTGCGGTTCCCCCAGATGCGGGTCTTCCGAATCCGCCGGTTACGGTGTCGTTGAAGGAATCATCCCCGACTGGGCGTCCCTGCCCAGGTGAACTCTGCTCTTGTTCCATGAAGCTCTGGTCCGCCTCGAATTTCTCCAGTTTCCGGAGGTGATTCTGGTACTTCTCCCACGGCTGTTTCATCTCCTTGCAAATCGTGATTAAGTACCGCAAACATTCCTTGTCGTTCGGATGCGTTCGGTGGATGTCCTCATAAAGCTTGAGAGCTGGGTGGTAAGAACCCATACGCCGATAGCAGCTTGCGACCTGATTATTTTTTGAAACTGGAACTCCCACTGCACGAGGATGAAAAGCTCAAGAAAAGAAGACCACAAAAAGGACGCTGCAATCTTTAAATTTGATTTTTGCGAAGGGTGGTGGTCTCTGTTGAAAAGGAAAACACATAATTTTTTCTGTACCATAAGAAGCCACTTGACTTCGTTCGGCTGGATTTGGCTCGCACGGGAAAAGTACTGTATCGCCAGCTCGTACAGTTCCTGTTTCACGTAGTAGATGCCAAGCCACGTTATGACCGTCATATCCGAAGGCAAATATCGGTAGGACTCTATTACAATGAAAAATGCCCCCTCCCCATATCAAAGCGGAAATCTGTGATGCAGATTTGTGGTCACGAATCAGCTTGCGATGCTAGAAGGCAAAAGATGCGGACTGTAGTGCTGTCTAGCGTGGGAAAGCCTTGCAGGTCTAGGATGACAGGAGGCAACGAACTGGAAGTGGGAAACAGCATGACAGATTACCTGCAATTTAGGCCGCAGCTTCGTCTCCTGGCCTTCTAGCAATACAAGGTGATTTGTGTACTCAAATACAGCATCACAAATTCGCGCATCTTCCGTTTCCGATATGGGGTGGGGGCTTTTTTCACTTTGATAGACTCCAGATTGTAGTGGAACGCTTGCGTTTCGTCGTCCATTTTGTTGTATCAAATGCAAAAATATCTGGGTCTGGAAGAGCAAGAGTCGCGCTGTTTTTGCATGACACAGAAGGTCTGGCATGGAAGCTCTAGCATCACAGGTTTCGCGAAGCGCTCGCAAACGCAATGCCGAATCCGCATCACAAATCCCTGACTTTGGTGACAGAAAGTGGGCAACTTTTGCTGCCTATGCATGAGAGATTTTTCCGTGTTCTGAAATGCGCATTACAAGTTCGTATTCTTCCAGACCCAGACATTTTTGCATTTGATATGTTGAAGAGAGACGCCAGCCGAGCGAGCACCCCTGGGTCGCTGGGTCGGCCTTTCTGCGACGTGACAATGAGCGACAGCCACTCGTGTGCCTTGCCGAGATTTCCAAGCCTCTCATGAATGTCACCGAGCTGCCACATTACCTGCGGATTATTTGAGGCAAAGACTATCGGATGACAGTTTTGGGACACAACTCGTATTTTTTTCCCGGTCCTGGGGTCCGCAAAATCAAGAAGCGCAGTGACTCATAGCAACTTCGCGGTTATCTTATTGCTAAAAAGCGACACAAAAAGCAGGAGAAGATGTGAATCGTCAGCACTACCTCGATGTTGTTGTGCGTTATGGAGTGCAGCTTGTCAAAGGCAAGCAAGGCCTCCTGCAGCTTTGCCATGTGCGAGTTTACCAAACCCAGATTGTAGATTGCTTCCAGACAGTCGGCAGACACGCCGATGGCTTCGAGGTACACTTCTTTTGCCCGCTCCAGTTCCCCAGCGACGAAAAGGCAATTGCCCTTGTTGACCAAGGCACGACTGTTGTACCGGTCCGCCTTCACCGCGATGTCGGCGTACCGTTCTGCGCTCCCGTAGTCGCCCTCGAGAAAGTACAGGAAACTGAGATTGGTACTGGCTCGCGCCATCAGGGCAGGCTCCTTCTTCTCGAAGTGCCGCAGCGTGGAGATGGCTTTATCGAAGTCTTTCCTCTTCAGATAATGCGTCGCCTTGGCTATCTCCATCTCGCTGGCGATACCTGGTAGGTGCGATATTGGATTTTTCATTTGCTCCGACGGTCGATAGAAGCGGTTGTTCCAATGTGGAGTCAGGGTAAAGACTTTTTCTCACACACAGTGGTGCTATTCTGCAGCTGCACACGCACTACACAGCGACCCCGAGCTGAAGATAAGTAAGAAGGCAGCATAAGAATTCACCCCGCATATCGTTCCTTACCTGGAAACCCGTGCGAATTCAGTGCATCTACGATCCAGTTGAACCCCTCCACCACCTCCTGTGGGTCTATCTGCGGGCCTATGAGCGTTGCGGCGTTTACTATGTACCGCTGGGCCTCGCGCTGTCTGATGTGTATTTAGTATTGATTGTGTTCGGATAATTTTTTCTTTTTGCTTTTGGTTGATTAAGTGTGCTTTCATCCGAAACATCGCCCCCGTCATCTTCCTCAAGGTCGATCGTAGGAGAATACTGCCATTAGCATTTTCAGAGTGAAGGAGAAGGACCGAGAGGAGAGAAAGAATCTTTACCTTTTCTTGATATCCTCTCGTAGTGCGTCATCCTCCGGTATGACATTTCCGTGGTCGAGCGATTCTTCTTCCTCCGGGTCATCTAGCCCGACCTGCTGTATTTGCAACAGCTTCAAAAACCCCTGCTTCATTTTCTCCTTGTCCCCTAATGCGTGGTAGCAGAGCAACAGATTGAAGCCCGTCATAAAGTCTAAGTGTTGTCCTTTGCTGGGGTCGAGCAGGTTCTCATAAGCGTCGATAGCGTCGGGAAACTGATGCATCTTGAAAAATGCGTGCCCGATGTTCCGCGATATCTTGAGTCGTATACTCTGCACGTTGTTGGGAATCTGATCCAGCGCCATACGGTACATCTTTATCGCGGAAGGGTACTTACCTGTGCGTATCAAAGGCTTCACGTTCGCCTGGAAGCTTTAAAATTCACAAACTCAAGAAACCCGTCAGCTCTGCATCAGTGCGGGCAGCAACGTCTAGCCGGCGCACAGAAGCAAGTGACAAATTCTGTGTCTACGACTATGTCGCCGATATTCAAATGGCATAAAGCGCTCCACCTCTTACCTTGCGCGAAGTATATGTTGCCCATGTTGACGCGGAAGCGGCCTGAATGTGGATACTGCTTATTTTTCACGATTTGGTTGTATATCCCGAGCGCTTCGGTGTCGTTGTTGTTTGCGTGCTGCTGAATAGCGAGGTTCAGACACACAGCATAGGTCAAATCGACATTCAGCTGCTCCAAAAGGTTCTGCTGCTCGCGCTGCCTGAAACAGTTTTTAGTAGTTTTTGTAAATGAAATTACTCGACGTCGACAGGAGATCTGGAAGCAGGTCCGAAGGTGTCCCGCCGAAGTAGGCCAGAAAAAACAATGCGAACGAGATCGTCCCAATGTCATAGCCAGCATGCCGAACAGAATGAGATTCTGACGAAGCATGCTTACGAATACGACTACCTCTGCATCTCCAAATAAAGTATTTTTCATACCTGCAGAGTGTTCTTTCCCGCTTCCCGGCCTCTTTCGCGAGTTCCAGCGCTTGACCTACTTCTCCCTGCTCGCGTACTACTGATGATTCCTCGACGAGGCCTGATAATGATATCACATTTTCTTATACCGTTGTTGCGTTGATGTTCCGCAACATTGGGGAGCAATAGATTTTCCACTAGTAAGTACCGAGAAACCCAAACCTGGGCGTGTACTTAATTGAACAAATCGCCTAGGAGCGGAAGCACCACTGCCACCAGTGCTACGAAAACAGATCGCAGGTAGGTCATCATGATGAAGAAGAGCTACTCGCCAATAAATACCGTGTATCTCCTTTTCCAAATCGCGTAGCTTTTCTTCGGGCGTTTGTTCCGTTTTTTTCTGTAGAAAATTGTCGCTGCTTTTCTGTACTTCTGTGCCTTGGTTCAGTGGGTCAAATTTGGATGTGTTGCTCATGGTGGCACTGTAGCCGGCGCCCCGGTTGGACGTGACTGGCCTGGCGGTGCTCGGCACGGCATTGTACAGACCGCCCGGTGCGCCCGCTCGAGACGCCAGCGGGTTCCCGGCCGCGGTGCCGGTCATGCGCTGCATGTAGGCCGAGGGCGGCGGGCCCTGTTGCACATGGTTGAAGTCGTACTGCCGCATGTTGTCAGCGTAGCTGTACTATCCTGTGCAAAAGTATCGTACTCGTATAAATGCAGGTCTTGCATTACAAATATTTTTCGTAAGATAAATCAGCATGACAAATTTTATTTCTCATGCTGAGAAAATTTGTCATGCATTTATACGAGTACGATACTTTTGCAGTTCATATGTACTCATTCACGAGCTCGTTCGTGAAATGGTCCGGATTGAACGACATCTTCGCGGGGCGGTTCGTTTCGAATATCCTGTGCAAAAGTATCGTACTCGTAGTAATCGCAAACATGCATTACAAATCTTGCTCTTAAGGTAAACCCGCATTACAAATTTATATTTGTCATGCTGAGGAAATTTGTAATGCATTTATACGAGTACGATGCTTTTGCACTGCATATCGAATTCGTGATGTTCTTGTCCAGCGCCTTTGTGAAAAGAAAAGTCGTTGGGCTTCTCGCTTGAGCTTGAACTGGTGCGTTTTCGCGTTGTATCCCCAGGCTTTTTATTTCCAGTTCGCTGGTGAAAACAACGTGTTGTGCTTTTTTTTCTACGTACCCCGTTGGCCTTGTTCACTCCCACTCGCCGGACAGTCGTGAAATTAGAATTACATCGTCGACGCTGAAAAACCAATCTTGTTCGACTCGCCGTCGAGAGAAGTCTTGCGTTGTGATGGGAAACCCGCCTGGCGCGCGGTTCAAATGTAGCAGCTGTGTCTAGATTCTGCGCTGCACGAATCTACGTGAATCCGCCTGCCCTTCGCTACTTCGTCTAGCTGGACGACCCGCGCTTGTGATGGTGATGCGCCCTGTAGTACGCTGTTTGACTGACGATTTGATGAAAAGAAGTTGCCTGGCGGTGCTCGTTGTTTCTCTGGATCTGGTTCTGCTTCCACTTCTTCTCGCTGCTTCTTCTCTCAAGGAGCCTCGTATGGATGCGGCCTTGCGGTGAATGTGAGTCGTCTTCCCCGCAGATGAGAGACAACAGACGTGCGCTGAGAAACGTTTCTGTGCCAGTATGTATGTGAGGCTGTCTTGAAGCTCCCGCTCTTTTTTGATTGAGCTTGGCGTGGTAAGCAGCTTCCTGTGATCTATCCCGTGCGGTCGGCGATGCGCCTGAGTGCTTGCTGTACCAACGGTCTTTCACCGGCAATTGACTTCTGCTGGTCGTTTATCGCTCCTTGTGAAGCAAAAAGCGATGCTGACACGTAAAGCTTGGTCCAAGAATCCGCAGCCACTGCTAGCCTCGTTGAAGTCGAAGCCCGTCGAGATGAAAAGCGACGAAGGTCAAACGGGCGAGTGAACGTGAAACTTCAACCCGACTACTAGGATCTTGCTGTTACTGTTAGGTATGAATACATGGGATGGCGCTGCGTACCTGCTCTTGCCGGCGGTTTCGCGAGGATCAGCTTTCCACAAGTTATCTTCCCCTGACAGCAGGAAGGCCGGCCGCCGACTTCAGAATTTATTCGGATACACAAGAACCGCACACGGCAACGTCGCAAGGGCAAGGTGGTGGTGCCCCCGCATAATTCCGCGACTCGTTACTGTGCCACAGGATCAGCAGGCTCAAGCGGATGTAGAGAGCGCAGTGCCTTTTTTCAACTGCAGCAAGAAGGCGCTCCCCAACGTTGTTCACCTGGTCGTCAATTACGACTAGGGCCTCCAGTCATCATCTTGACGCAACCCTTTATCAAAATGCTCAGGAGGCTCATTTGCTTGTGGACTCTGCAATCAAAACACACTCGCTCGCACACAGACTCGTCGTCACATCGTTCGCGTCCCCCCTTCATCGTGCATGACACATAAGCACAGTCCAGGAGAGTCGAAAAAACAGCGAATTTTTGCACTCGCTCCTCCAGGCAACCGGACACCAGTTGCGCGCGAGCGCCTCCTAGACAAAAAACCCAAAGATTGCCTGAGCCCGTCCCACCTCTTTCCAGACACTCACACTCAAACGATCCGCGGACACTAACGGGCCGGACCAACCTCCCCCTCATTTCATTTTTGCATTTACTGCCACCCCCGCAACCGGCGCTCCATCACCGTTACTGATAACAGTCAGGACGGTTGACGCGGTCAGTGTCTGGCCTCCTCTTCGCTTCTCTCCAACGGAAAAAAGAAAAACACAAAGCTGAAGAACTGAAGTAACCGAACATGAAACGCTGAAGTAGGAACTCCCTGTTGCTATTGAGTTGTTTCTGCACAACAAGGACAAGGCGCTTTGCGGCACCTATTTCTTTTTTTAGTCTTCCCCTTCTCTTGCAATACGTTTGGTACATAAGAACTCTTGCGCATTTCTTTTCTGCTCGTTTCAGTTTTTCTTTTTGCTAAATCATTTTCCGAAAATACAAATTGATAGTACAAAAGCTTAGAATTAGATACAGGCTCGAGTAGTATAAACTGTTGCTAGTAAAATCCACGCATTTCCATGAAGATTTTGTAGTCCATCTTCGTAGTTTTTTTATTCCAGGAGGTCTTTTTATACACAATTCGCCCTCGCGAGGTAGAGGTTACTTTTCATGCACAATCTTCTCGGATCATCGGGTAGGAATTGGATAGAAGCATGCGGTTGATGTTCGTAGTCTCTCTGTCTGTCTAAGTAACTGTAAAATCTGATTTGCAAATAATAATCGGCATCCATTCTCCTGTCACAGTGTTTTATCAACACATTGAGGGTTCTTACAGATCAAACAAAAAGTCCTCGCCTATGGGCCGACCTGCGGGTGGCGAAGAAGCGATGACGGTATCGTCTTTGGCTTTTCTAGCACTGAAGCTGTTGACGCTAGGCGTCATTTGCCGGTGACAGTGCTGTATGTCGTTCTGCTCCTGGTAGCCACTACTTCGGTGTTGTCCAGGAGACGGAGCACGAGGACGCTCGTGCGGATGAAACGCTTGCTTGTCTTGGGTTGTGTTTTTATCCTCTCGACCACCAGCGGCAGGCGAAAATGAAATCCAGGAAAGTAAACGCGAGTCGCTTTGTATCCAAGAAAAAAACGTTGTAGGTGTAACTTTCTTGGAGGAATAGCATTACAAATTTGTCTGGCATGACAGCAAAAACCTGTCATGCGCAGGTAGTACGTGAAAACGCCCTTTAATGGACCCTACGATCATGCATGCCAAGCATGACAGACGCAATCATCTTGCATATTGCGCATCACAAATTTACACTAACAACGTTTTTTTCTTGGATACTTTGCTGTGGCATGTCGGCAACAAACCCGTCAGAGGAGCTCACCGAGGCGGTCTGCGATTCGTGTAGGTCGTTGTAATTTCTTGGTGGGGGCGAAAATGGTTTCGTTCGTAAATTGGAAGATGCCCCTTGTTCTAGTAATGCACTGCTCGATGATGCTTCATCCTCGGGGCCGGGGTAAGGCGACGCCGACCCGTCTGCGTTGATCTTCTTCCTCCGGGGCTCGTCCGTTTCGCCCCGCCGCTTCAATGCACCCAGGCGCGCAATCGCCGGAACGAGGTACGGTCCCCCGCCGGCGAACAGCAAAAGAAACACGAAAATCAGAAGGAAGGCGAAACCGTAGAGCAAGTAGAACGCATGGTGCTGGTCCTGAAGCCAGAGAAGCAGTGCGCTTTTTCGCATGGCCGTACCGCTCGTCCCCGTGCCGCGGAGTGCGCCTCGTCTATTACCACTGGTGTGGGGAACATCAAGGCTAGATGGCGTAGCAAAGGGAGCTGTATTTCTTGTTTCCTGTGACTGCGGGTTCGAGGACGTGCTGTGTTCATCAGCCAGGGGATCCTTAACTTCATGATGATGTTGGGAGTCCTTGTTTTCTGCCGAAATTTCCTCTTGCTGACCTAGACGAGACTCGCTTGTTTTAACCGCAGACGGAACGGCCTCGGTCTCGGCTGACAGCGCCAAACCTCGTCCGTCTACTGTTGAATGATCCTTGACTTCTGTAGTGATGGCAGCGGCAAATCCCCTTGGCGCAGTCTGTGCTTGATCTTGCCTATCAGACGCAATGTGCGGTCGTAGTTGTTCGCGCTTGCTCACTGATGCTGCGGGCGTTGTTGAAGAGATCCATGTTGATGTTGTACTGGCACCGTCACCCGGCAGAGCATCCTGTGGCATTTCTGCGGGCGATGGTAAGCTGAAGTCGTTGGACGTGTCAGCATGGGTTGAGCTGGAGAGCGACGAGCTTACCGGTGGTGCGCGCGGTGCGGTCTCCTCTTTGGGTGACAGGCCTTTCGAACTGTTTGCTCTGGCCGCATCTCCTACAGCTGGGGATGCTGTTGTTGATCTTCCTGGTTGTAAAGACAGACTCTGAGCAGGCTCTTTCCCGTTCCTTTCTATGCTTTTCCTTTCAGTGACCTCCGACACTGGTGGAGCAGCAGGGATGCCACCATCCAAAGTTGGTGTCGTGCCATGATCTCCTGGTGGTGCGAATGTCGAAGTGGAAGGCGCCGCGCTTGCTCCGACGGTGTCGTGAGAAATGCTGTCACTTTCATCTTCTAGCAGTACTTTTTTGGCGCGCATCTGCACACCAGATCCTTTCTTTTTGGAAAATGATTTCGGTCGGCTGTTATGACCCGATGCTCCGTCTCCATGTTCATGCTTCCTTCTACTTTTATGTTTGTCCTTGTGCTTATTTGGCTTTCGGTGTACTTTCTCTTTTTCCTTCTCTGTGCTTGACTGTGGTTTCTTCGTTGGCCCGGCCGACTTTTCTGCCGTCTCTCGCTTCCTGCGCGCCGCTTTCGAGGATGTTGATGTCGACTTCGCACGCTTACCAGTAGCAGCAACACCAGCAGGCGACTTTTTGCTCAGAGATTTGTGGCCAGTATGACCATACGGATCCAGTGGATTTTGGGGAGACGGACACGAGTCCTCCTCATCCTCCTTGACCTTGGCGAGGGGTATGTCGCCCTCAACCGCCTCAGGCGCGTACACGTGGGAACCTCCGGGCATCTCCAGAAAGCTGAAGATTTCTGCACGGGAGCGCTTGGCCTCGGCAATCCGCCGGTGGCGGACGAAAATGATTCGACCAAGCGGCTTCTGAGATAGTAGAGGTAGTTTTTTCATTTATTTCAACAGTTGCAGTTCTCTACGATTGTCTACGATTTCTGACGAGGACGCTGGGGTATTTTTACTTTATGCAGACGCAAATCGCGCTCGTTACTCAGCGAACTAGTAATAGAAATTGAAGGCGCGGCAGGCGCAACGAACGCACCTAGTGCGAGGACCAGAAGTATCCTTAAGATATCAGATCCACGTACTCATCATCATGATCATCTCAAATATCACGACGAATACTTTGCGCTGTGCAAGACCCTCTGGCCTGGGCGTCGTAGTAGAAGTAGTCGGAGTTTCCGGGCTCGGTTCGGGAGTGGGCTCCGGGCTGGGTTCTGGACTGGGCGCGGGCGACGGTTCGTCGCTCGATTCTCCGGATTCTGATTCCTCCGAACCTGAATCGCTGCCACTCCCACTCGGACTGCCCGATCCTGACCCACTGGGACTGCCCGATCCTGACCCACTGGGCGAACCAGATCCAGAACCGCTCCCACTTCCCGACCCACTACCCTCGGAGTCCTCCTCCGGCTGCGGCTTTGGTTGCGGAGACTGGTCCTCGGGCGATTGCGAATCGGGCGGGGCCGGGGTGGTCGTTGACGGCGGCGGTAGTCCATCGTTGTCGATGAAGAGGATCCGGCGTCGCTTGTCGAAGTACAGCACGTTTTCCAGGCCCGTCGGCGGGTCGATGGTCAGCTGCCCAGCGGCAGCCCGATGCAGGTAGGCCCGCGACTGCGCGCATCCGGCAACGATGGCCTGCAGCTCCGCCCGCGAGGGAGGGTTGGGCAGCGAGAGCATCTTGTGCTTGACCAAGTGGTAGGCGTCCGCGGCCCGCTGGTCGAGGACGCTCAACTGCTCGGTTTGGAGCCACTCGTCGGAGTTGCGCTGCGTGATCTGGTTCAGCACCGCCTCGTGGCCCAGCACCTCCTGCCCGTATCGCGGCGTGAAGATCTCCCAGTAGGACGCTTCCTCCGCGTCGTCGTTCCCCGCAGCGTGCTTGATGCGCTGGTAGAAGCGCGGCCAGCTGCCGGCGTCGATCAGATCTACATCGAACAAATTGTCCTGCATCCAGGGCAGCACCTTTTTGCAGTCGGTTTTCCCGGCCCCGTTTGGCGGCAGCAGCTCGTCCTTCAGCACCTTGTAGTCCATCTGCGTCTGCGTGTACCGCTTCAGCGGCGCGCCGCCCACCTCCACGGTTTCCGGTTGCTTGTCGTCCGGTTTAAAGGTCTGCTCTATGGCATTCAGGTCGCTGTGCGTTTGCATCAACCGCCACAGCCGAATCATGGACACCTTCTTGAAGCTCATGGCCTTCACCAGATCCCGGTCCAGAAACTTTTCGTCCTGACGACCCTGGTGGTAGCCGCCCTCGGAGACGCGGACGTGCTGCTTGTACGTCGACCAGAGCTCCTTGTACCGCCGTGGGCAGAATTGGTTGTCGCACAGATAATCCACCTCGTTGTAAAATCCGTCGCCGTCGGGGTCCAGCGGGTGCCGACCGCCACCCTCCCCCGAGTCCGACTCGGAGGAACTCGTCTCGCGCTTGTCCTTCTTGTCCTTCCGGTTGCCGCGCCGTCCCGCCACTGCTGCTATCCCGCCCACGACCGCCAGCGCCCCGGCCGCGGCGAGGGAGGACCGCACCACGTCTTTGTCGTACAAAAGCTGCTCGGCGTCCAGGTAATTCGAGTTTGCCTGGTCAGCAATGTCCAACTTTTGCAGGAGCTCTGCTTTGTCATCGGCGTTCAGATATTGGGGGCCCGCGAGCGCGACCCCTTTTTGCAAAGCGTCAATGGCTTCCTGTCGTTCTTTCGGATCAGCGCCGTCGTCCCCTAACGCGTCCAGAAGGTTGGGGGAGATCCAGAGACGTTCTCGCTGCTCTGCAGTCAGCTTTTCGATGACGGCGTCCTCCGCGGTGTGTCCCGCTTTGTCAGACGCAGCGTCCATGTCAGCGAGCCCCCCATTGTCCTCGTTCATGTCTGCGTGGGTAACTTCGAGATTGTGCAACGCAGCTTGCGCGGCGTCGATCTTCTGCTGCTCTGCGTGATCTGGAGCGACGCCACTCGACGGGTGTTCTGCTTCCGCCAGTTTCCTTTGCGCGTCCGCAAGTTTCTCTGCATAGTCGTCATCTCCATCACGATCGTCAGGCACCTGGACGTCGTTGTCGTTACCCAGCGCCGCGGTGATCGCTTCATTTGCCGCGTCGACGTGCTCCGTGTGGTCAGCAACGTCCTTGTCTTGCCCTTCCACCAGGTCTCCGATAGCCGAGGCGCCTTGCAACGTCACTCCATGATAACCTTCCCCGGAAGCGTCGTTGTCCCCAACCTGGTCCCACCAGTTGCCCCAATCATGCGCCCAGTCGTGGTCCTCCGCACCGGTTTTGTCAGCCACCCAATCCGCGCCCTCCTGGACTTCGTGGCCCAGCCACCCAGTGGCATCTTCCCACCAATTTTCGGCACCCTGGGCCACTTCGCCAACTTTCCCCGAGTGCTCGGTCAAAGCATCCCACGCGTTTCCAAGGGGGTCAAAACCTTCAAACTGGGCTCCCACATCCGGCATCAGCAGAAGAAACAGTTTTAGTTCGGCAAGAATAAGCTGAAACACGACGGCCTTGGCTTTCCAACGGCCTTTCCATCGGATAGTTTCGGACGATGAAGAAGCAGGTTGACATGGTTCGCACTCGCAGGTGCGAGTTGTAATACAACTGCCACGTGTAGCACCACAACTACTGCTGCTGATATTTGCCTTCGGGGCACAAGCAACTACCAACGCGGCCTGGTTAATCATCTTCGGTTTCCTCGACGGAGAGCGCACTTTCATGGTTCCGCCGCTCGAAAGCTACTTACGATGAAGATGATGTCGCAACTGCGGTTGTCTACACAATTCCAATACCGGTCGTCCCATTGCCGCTGCGTTCAGACAAATTTCCAACATTTATCGGACACCGATAATACTGAGTCCCATATCTTCACTACATGAGCGTTTATTCTCGACACTGCTGTCGGATCAACATAGACACTACACTATGACAAAACCCATGCCACCCACTAGTAGAACTGTACAATGAACGAACCACTTCGTTATCGTTGTCGCAAATCACGACATAATAGGACAAATAATCTCGGCGACGAACTTTCGAAGACGATGAAACGATGACGAGGAAGAATGGGATCCGATCGAAGAGGCCTAATGTCAATGTGCCATTCTGAGTATAGCCACGATTTGTTATCACGATGACACCAGAGTGACGCAGTATCATTAATATTGCAAAACGATAAAGGCGATCAAATCGATGATGATGTTGTTGAGAGGTCGTAGTGCCCGTCACGAGGAAGATGCGTTGTCCGTTCATAATACTCGTCGCACCATTTTCTGTCGACCTGCTCGAAAAACGACCTAAGCAGGCAACTCTCATGTTTATGCCGCGATCATAGGCAGCATCAACGAGAAGCATCAACGAGAAGTAGATGCCGTTGCGACGAATACGATACAACTCCTATTTCATTTTTCAAGCTACTAATTATCGATAAACATCAATAAGCCAGGAGCTAGAGGTGAGCGACAGCATGCCATTAAAAGCCGACATCGACACGGCACCGGTGGAAGAAGTAGCGGCAACTGTAACAAAAACATGTCTGAAGAAAGGACAATCTTTGCGATCTTGCGCAAGCTAGCGGCGTCGGCAGGGGATTCATGCATTTCACAAAAACACTTTTTTGCTCGGATTTTTTTGCGAGCCGTGCTGCCAAGGCAAGTGAAAAGTAGAACCTGCGATGTTTCTCAATGTTCGTGAAAGATCCAGCGGCCGCTGCCGTCGATGAACTATGCGGACCGGTAGCCCGACAATGCATTGAGGTCAAGCACGTCTTTTACACGATCACTCCGCGCGCGTTTGCGACGGATGCGCGAAAGTTTAGCCAAGAATGCTTTTACTCTATTGTTGCTGGATACAGTGAGTGGATTTAGATCCTGTGCTTCAGGTACCGTAAGTCATTACACCACTTGCACATGGATTGACAAATGATTCTCAACAGGACACCGGATCGTCGTGACACAACCCGCCTCCAGCATCATTGCTTACCCGTCCCCTTCCTCCGCGCCGGGTTTCTTGGTGTCATTCCAAATCCAAGTTTGCAGGTGGTCGAGTTTCTCGTCCGAGCCTGCCACCGGATGACGCGCGCTACATCCACCGCTGGAAAGGCTCTTGTATGAGTCACGCCTTCTGCTTCGGTGCAAAAGGACAAAGACCCAGGAGACTCTATCTTTGCGGTGTAGCACACGATGTGGGCGAAAGACTGTCAACAGGTGCCGGAGCACCGCGGAGCTAGTACTCGCAGCTCGAAGGTGGATCGACTTGTTATGTTCGAAGAACGCCTACTTATTTGCGTTCAGCTGTCCTCCAAGCAGCGAGCGTCGTGGAGGTCTCGCAATCGCAAAAGAAAAAAGCGCTGCTTACGCCTGTCGGTGGCACTTTTGCGGCGACTAGAAGACGCAATTTCATCACGTCCATTCATTGTTTTGTCAGCAGGGCCGGAATTATTTTCTTCACTCATTGAGTTCCCTGCATGTTGATTTCTCATGAGGGCTTACTTTCTGTACAGCGTTCTCCTACTGCTGTTGAAGTGATTGGGGGGCTTTCGACGGTCACTGTAGGTGTCGTAATATTCCAGGCATTGTAAACCCGCATAAATAACTCAAAATCCCGGGCAGCTGCGGGCTTCTTCTCGGTTCCCTGCTTGCTGCGCATGCGGGCTTCGGCATCTTTTGCGCTGTCACACCAAACTACCGTGAGCCCCCGCTCTATCTCGCTCTCCGTCATCTGAGGTCCCTCAGGTAGCCGCTTTGTGATATGCCCACTGAAAACGTGTGAAACGGTCTCCCGGAGTTTGCCCGTCTTCTCACTGTTTCTTTGTTCGGTTAGTTGCCCGAAGTTCTCTTCTAAAGCCACCTCGCACCCGATTTCTTCCCGACACTCGCGCACAACTGCGGTTTCCACCGTCTCGCCCGCCTCTACCCCACCGCCAGGCAGCTTGAAAAAGTCGCCGCGAGCGCAATGCAGCAATGGGACTTCCCCCGTAGTCGGGTCCCGGGCCACAATTCGGGCGGCTACACGACGCGGAATTTGCGCATTTGTCTCACCCATAGTTCTGATGTCTTTTGGCCTAATACGTTGCGATTCGTGTCTGAATTAAAGAACGAAGTATGATGCGGCAACGCTTGTTGATGCTTTGCGAAACATGCAAGTTGTGCCAGAAAAACTGAAGTTACGCTACTGCATCCGCATGGGCCGACATAATTGTGGGTCGTTCTGCTTGTCAAAAAGAGATGGAAAAAAAAGACGCTCTCTACAAACAAGCCAGCAGCCCGACCGAATGCAAATCATGTAAAAAAAGTTAGCCAATAGCTACGACCATTCGAAACAAACTTTAGCTGGGCGCCCCCTGCTCACTGCTCGAGTCCGACCAAGTGCTGCCCCTGCCGGGCTGACTATTACAGTCGAACAACAGCGGCTGCGGTGCGTCACCATCTCGATCTCAGTCTGTGCGAGATATGCATGTGCGCCGGGGCAAAAGAGCTGAGTTCTCGATCTTACTTGTGCTTGTGGTTTGTCCATAGTGAAGATCGCACTTCTTTGTCTTTCATCTCTCTGTCTTTCTGCTTGACTTTGATTAAAAGAATAGTCTGCACCCAAAGCCAAAAGGGATGTGTTGTAGTTGAATATAAATTTCTGAACTCTGAGGTGGTGCTGTTCGAAAACAAAAACACATATACAAGTACGTAGGAGGACCCCGACCCGCAATGGTAAGGATTTTTCTTTGCGCCATGTGAATACAAAAAAAAGCAGCGTGATCCTACTGTAGCAACCACCCAGGTGAAGATTGGTATAGTATCTTGTGACGTATCTATTTTGACAGAAATTGAAATATACTTCTGGGTACTTACTCGACAAGGAATGGCATTGTTGAAGTTAGGTTCTTTCGCTTTTACGTTTTTCTTTTTTCACGGCGACGTTGTACCTCGACGTTGAAAAAAACGATATTCTAGATTTAATAGTGCGATACGTACCAAATAAAATCGGGCCAGATCCTCTTCCTCCAGCTGACGAGAGCATTTTGTCTCCGACTCCAGCAAGGATCGTTTTATCAACCTTGCTGTTTTGAATTCTCTGCCCCCCTGGCTCTGCGTCTACTTACTTCTTCTTGCCTCCGGCGCCCCCGGCATCCAGCAGAATCCAAGACAGCCCGACCGCGAGCATGGCGGCACGCTGGTACCTTGTGTAGAAGACCTTTTCGCCGGTCGCCGCCGGGCGAACCTGTCCGCTGATGGCGCTCTCGTCGTCTGCCGCCTTGACCCGGTACAGCGGCTCGCGCAGACTCTCCGAAACCGTGCTGCGATTGGAGTAGAAGGCGGTCCAGAACTCGTTGGACAGTCGTTGCACCTGCGTCACGGGAACGGGACTCTGCGTGAAGACCATGGACTTCACGCCGCGAAGCGTCGCGAGGACTGCGGTCGAGTACGAACTCTCGTTGTTCGCCAACAAGTTGTCCCCGAAAAGCGCCTTCTGCCGACGAAAAGCCCTGAAGGAGTTTTTACGGAGCATGCCAAGTGAACGTATTGTCGAAATAAAAAACAGTACTGATAAACCTCATGCAATGGTGTTGTCGCACAAGGGTTCAAATTCAAAATTTTCAAATTCTTTATTTTTCACCACAGAAGTTTGAATCTGATAGATTCTGAATAAAGACACGAAAAAAACTGCGCAACTACTGATACTTGTCATTCATCGCCCGGCAGAACATGAATAGGCAGTTCAAGTTTCGCAGGTCGAGCGAGCCGAACTGCTTGGACGATAGTGACATTAACAGTTTCGAGAACCCGACGTAGTTCAGTGTCTTGGACAGTTGCAGGGACTCGATGAACGTCTGTGGTGAAATCACCGGGTCGCCAAAAGTTTTCGCCAGAGCCGCGGGTGCGGTGGGGAAGTCTTTCAATAGATTGCCGGTTTCTTGCGGCACATACTGGTCCTCGTTGTTGGCGTCGACTAACGCCTTGGACACACTTCCGTCCAGCCCCAGCGTGACCCGCTTCACGGTCGCGTCCTTGGGGTCGACCTTCGAAGGCTCCTCCGCAAAAGTCACCGTGTTGATCGGCTCTGCCAGCAGCGCGGGCGGTCGGCGGCTGTTTCTGGCGGCGAGGAGCGGCAGCGCTACGTCGCGGGTCACGAAGCAGTCCTGGTTGCGTGGGAACATGCTGACGACGCAATCTAGGTGTTCCAGCGGCAGGTCAAACAGCATGTCATCTAAAAGCAGAATCAAGTTCGCCGGCCGTCGGTCGGCCTGCGTGCCGGCCAGCGGGAAAAATTCCTGTTTTAGACGGGCGAAGAGCGGCTCGAAGAAACTCTCCACGTTCTGCCACGCCTCCTCGTACTCCCCCATGGTTTTCTCCGAAAGTGCGGACGGTTTCTGGATCAAATCCTTCTCTGTCCGGGTGAAAACGTCGTAAAACGCCTGCCGGAAGTGGAAAAAATCCAGCCGCCGTGCGGGGATCTGAGAAATTGAAAAAATAGAAGCGGTAGAGCGCAGCAGTGTCGTCCGCCGGTTGGACTAAATAACCATAATCGCATTTCTTCCCGTTCCAGATGAAACTCGAAACTTTTGATTCTAGTATCAAGGACAATGCCATTCTCGTTGGAGGTTCGTTGCTTGAGCTCTTCAAACAGACAACACGAGTCTATGTTCTTGCGAAAGCTTAACTAATACCTTGAAGCACATATATTCGCACTGGCCCGGCGTGTAACTCGCGCTGGAAAATTTCGTCTTCACTCGACTCGGGGCGGTCGCAGCTGCTCCCGGAAAAAATGCTGCGCCGACGGCCATGAAGTCCTTTTCGAGCTGCAGGGACACAGTCAAAGTCAGTGGCGGAATAAGTTCGCGCATCAATTGGTCGCAGTCTTGCGGCAACTGCATCAATGTGTCTACGAGCTCGCCGCTCGGCTGCGCGGAGTACTGCTGGACCAAATCCGAGAACCCCGGCAGCATGCTCGGTCGGGGGAACTTGTTCCGCACCGCCTCGAGTTTCTGCTGCAGAATCCTTTCCGAGTTCTCGCAACTCAAAACGGTCTGCAAAATGGTGTCGTAGCCGTAGTCCAAAACCCGAAAGAGCTGCTCCATGCACAGGCAGTGGAAGGTTTGCTTCATGTCGGTCGGACCGTACACACTGTGCGCCAGCGTGTGGCAGGCCAGCGCACCCGATTTGAAGTGACGATGACGCAGGCAGCTCGGCAGCGCTTTTTCTAAAAACTCCTTCCCGGCTTCGACGTGCGGGGACATTGGTGTCCCAACGACCACAGCAGTTCCAGATTCTCCCCCAGCACCCTCCGCTCCTTCGGCTGGTGGTGCGAATGCCAACGTCTCCCAGTTCTTCACTGGCTCCGCACTTTCGCAACTGCGGCAATCTTCGAACAACATCGCGCGGCGCTCGAATTCTTCCAGCGCGTTCTTCCCGGTTTCGTCCCACTCCGCCTCGCGAAACGGGCAGGGACCCCGCTCGACAAATAGCACGCCGACCTCCACCTCTGCCGCGGCCACGCGTGCCGGCACGAACGCGCCGAAAGAAGTTTGCTCCTCCTCCGACGCGGCCCGGTCCGTCTCCTGCCAGAGGCTCGGGTAGCGTGCCGCAAGCTGGTGGTATTCCAGTTCCGAGTACGCGGAGTGGATGCTGGATAAACACTGCTCGATCTCCTGCGCGGGTCTCGGGCCGGCCTTCCGCTCGTTCTCGCTGTCGATTCGTATCGTCAGTTCCTCGATGTATTGGTCTTTGACGTCGAGATTCTCCACCGGCTTCAACGGTTTGAAGAACCCATCGACGTCGATCGCGACGCTCGTGTCGCCCGGTAGCGACAGAGCCGCTTGTTTCGCGACGTGTCTCATTGGCACAGAAATGGTCTCCGCCCCGGGCAGCTGGAAGTAAGAGGCCAAATATTGCGCCGTGTTCTGCCGCGAGAGTGCGTGGTTGCTGGTGGAGCTCGAGCTGCCGCCGCGCTGGAACAACTTCTCTTTGTGGCGCAAGGCGCGCCGCTGGGCACGGTGTCGACTCACGCAAATGTCGATTTCCAGCAGTAGGTCCGACAGCGGGCCGCAGCAGCTCTGCAGGTGCGCGACGGAGGGGAGACGCTTGCACAGTTCCGACTTTGCGAAGTGGAGCGTGTCCAGCATGGCGAGCAGCTTTTCCTCGAACGCAAGAAGAACACTGGGCAAAAGTTGCCCGGGGTCGTAGGTGTCTTGGAGCAAGCTCAGCACTTTCTCCATCTCCCTCGCGTACCGCAAACCGGACTCAAGGGCGTTCAAATACCACCCGGAGCCGATCAGCTTGTCGATCAGAACCGCGGCGAAGCCCCAGCACTTCTCCACCTCATCGAAGAACCCCTTGGCGCTGACCTGCATCTGCAGCACCTTTCCGATGTGCGTGAAGGCCTCCAGTTCCAAAAGCCTGCAAAGCTTGCCGACCTTCTCCACGTTTACCGTTCCCGCGGCCAGCTCGGCCAAAACCGAGGCCTGCATGCGTTTCGAGGGCGCGCCCCCGCGGAACCCGCCCGGTGCGGAGGAAAACGCCGCGCCCGTCATCACCGAAGAAGCGCCGCCCGGACTGAACGCGCCGGTGATGTTGTTTTGCGCAGCAGCTGCCCCGACACTTCTGCCCGAAGAGCCCGAGGGCGCAATGTTGCCGCGGCTGCGCTTCGACATCGGGCTGACGGCCGGCGATTCTGACGGCACCGGCTGTGCCGTGCCGCCCGACGGGACAATCGCGGGCTCGCTCAAAATGCCCGCCGCCAGCTGCTGGTGCTTCAGCATGGCTTGAGATGGCGAGAGCTCCGCGTTCCGCACTTCCCTGAAATACGCCAAGCCGGACGACAAAAGGTCTTCGACGAACACGTTCGGCGCCTGCAGCTGCTGGTACGCAGCCTGTGCCAGGTCCACCACGTCGATCAGGAGCAAAACCTCCATGCCCTGCACCCGGTACTGCAGGCGAAGAATCTCGCGCAGAACTAGTTCTGCCCTGCCCTCGGCGATCAGCACCTTCGCCTGCAGGATACTCGCCTCCCGGAACATTCTCGTGTCGCCATAACACCGGGCGTGGTACCGCGTTTCGGCCAGAAGCTTCCCGGCCAAGCTGTACTCCCCGATTTCGAAGCACTCCTCGGCAATGAGCAACCAGATTTCGCAGACCTTGATCTTGTCCGAGCACCGCAAGGCCTCGGCGCGGGAGTCGTCGGCGAAAACCGAGGAGAGATCCAAGGATTCCGGGTCCAGCAGGTTCTTGTCCTCTATGGGATCCTTTTCACCGCGAAGTAACTTCGTCAAATCGTCCTCCTTCACAGTAGCTTGCTCGGGCGGGGCCGTCTCGCCCTCCTGCTCCCCACCGGGTTCCGCCGAGGCGGCATCTGTTTTTGAACACAGAGGTAGTTTTGATCTGTTTTTCATTTTCTTTTTCAAGCAAAAAATAAACGTACTTCTAGTTCTAGTACAGCAGTAGCAGTACTTTCAGTTGAGATAAGCAGATCTCTTTTGTATTTGTCGTGGCGACGTGCTATGTATGCTTGCTCACCTGGCTTTTTCTCTTCCACGACAACCCTCCTTGCAAACGCCGCGTCTGCCTCCTGTCTGAAGTCCGGCAGGGTGGATTCTATCTTGTACAAAAAGTCGCTTCCCATGGTCCAGTGCTTTGTCGCGTCTTCGAACAGCCGCAGCAGGTGGCAGAACCGGCTGCGCTTCAGGGCAAGCAGGCAGTCCAGGGTCTTCTTGACCGTCAGCTTGCGGTCTTCGCGTAACTTCTTCTGCTCCTTCTCGAACACGGTCATTTTTCCGACCTGCTCCGGCGTCATCGCGGCATTCACGCGCGCAATGTCGGCCAACTCCAGACCCCAGTACTGGTTCACCAGGAGTTGGTGCAGGTCCAGCACCGGGAACAGGTGGGAGTAGTAGGCCTGCTGCTCCAGCGTCTTTTCCAAACGGATCAGCGCCCAGAAGGTCAAGATCGGTTTCGCGAACATGCCCGGATTCCCGGCGTAGAAGTATTCCTCGACGGTTTGGTTTTCGATGTCCGCGACCGTGGGCAGGCCGCGGTTGACCATCGTGAGAACGACCTGAAAATTCGTTTTGGCGAACGCCACGCGATCGAGCAGAATCACCGAGTTTTGCTTCTCCAAGTCCGACATTTCCTTCGTACCAAACTCGGCCGTGTCGTACGCCTTGCCGTACGCGCAGAAATCGTCACTGGAACAGCAAAAGGGCAGCGCCATGGGCTTGGCCACCACTGGCTCGTCGGCGACCCCCCCTGCGAGCTGATTCTCCAGCTTCGCCTTGTTCTTCTCCTGCTCCTCGATCAAGTCCGCAATCTTCTTGCTGTACACGGCCACGGCGCACTGGTTCGCCAAGTCAATCGTGCTCTCGAAGATGCGGGTGATGAAGTGCACGCAGGCGGATAACGAGGAATGCAAGTCGTCCGCCGACCTGGCGTAGGCCAGTTGCGCCACGTGCGCGCGAAGAATGTGTTCGTAGTGCAAAGCGTTGAGTTTCTGCGGAATCGCGGTATCGTTCGCATTCATCAGGGCGTTCTTGCTCTGTTTACTGGTGCTCCCCGCGGACGACGACCTGCTCGGGCCACGGGAGCTGCGGGCACGGCTGATCGCGCTCCCGGCGCCGGCGCCCTTGGACTTCTGGGAGCCGCTGCGCTTGCTCCCGACACTGCCGGGCTTCTTCGAGGATTTCGGGCCCTTGGAACGCGAACGCCGGCTGCTCACCTGGCTACCAGTCATCGCAGCTTCGTCATCAAGTTGCTCGGCGGCCTGATAGATCATGTGAACAGGGACGATACCAACTGGCAGTACTGTTTGACATGAGCTTCAAAATGAAACTGACAATTTTAGAGTTCACAGGAGCATCTACAACTGCAGGAGAAACGGTCGTGTGGCGCATCTTCATCCATGTTCAAGTTCATACTGCTAGCGACGTTTCGAAGCAAGTCGTGCATCCACGAGTCTAATTACCTGATCCTCCTCCACATCGAGCAAGAGATCCGCGGCGTGACGCGCGATCTCGTAGGCAGCGAGTTCGTCGCCGCGGGCGGAGAGCCAGTCCGCCAGCTCTAGTTGGACGTCCACGACGGAGTACTGTGACGCTTTTTGCAAAATGTCGATGGCCTTTTTGTACGCGTCTAGCTGCTCCTGCGGCTTCACGGCGGAGTGCGCCAGGATGATCCAGATGTTCGCCTGCGCGGTGGCCTGCGACTCCTTCATCTTGCCCATCGCAACCTGCACATTTTTTCCCTGCTTCGATAAGGCGACCATGCGGAGTGCCCACAATTTCCGCTGGAACTCCGGCGGCACGATTTTGAAGGCGGCATTCAAAACCAGCTGAATCTTGGCCCAGTCCTGCAGGTCCTGTGCGTACACGGAGTAGGCACTGGAATAGAGCGACAAGAGCAACTCTGGGTCCTCTTGCAACTTCAACGTGGAAAGCACTCGCGCGGCGGTCAGGAGGGGGTTGAGGACGAACAACCGGCTTTGCCGATCGGTCTGCAGCAGCGCCGAAGCGACGTTGTACAGTCGTTGCGCGCTGTAGAGTGCCAGATTGCCGTGCAACTCGGCCTCTGTGCAATGCTCCAGCGCGGCAGCGAACTGCAGAACCGCCGTGCAGCGCAGGGTGGAGACAGAGTTCTTTTCCTGGGCGCTGGGGTTCACGAGGGTAGCCAGCGAGGCTCCGCACAAGGCGAACGCGGCGCCACGCCAAGCGGACCGCAAATCCGAGCAATGGGCGGGACGACGGGCCACGGGCGTTACGGCTTGGTTCAGAGTCGGATCGTCCATCTTCGAGGAGGAACTTTTCCTGTTAGATGCGTAGTTTGTAAGATTTTCATTCTCAAATCCTGATTGGGAGATTGCGGAGTGCGCTTTCAGGCACAACATGGAATAATGTGCTCTATAGTCAAACATGGTTTGTTAGCAAGCCCTATACTTTTTCTTCTCCTTCTTCTCTTCCACCGGTGCCGCTTGTATGTTCTGCACATCCAGCCCGCGCAGCGCGCGGATCGCACACATGAGGCCATACTTCGGACCGGTCTTGTTTACGTCCGGCGAAAAGCAGGCCAGGCAATTTCGGCCCAACCGGGTCCACAACTCGAGGAATAAAGTCGCCTCTTCTTCGTCCTCAAAGCGAGGTTGCCAGGTGTTCAGCAAGTCTACGCACTGCGTCACCAAGGGCATGACTTTCTCGTTTTGCTGCGTCACGACCGTGATCTGTTCGCAAAGCTTCGTCACGTCCCCCTCAATCCGCAACTCGGTTTTCCGGTTTCCCTCCAGCGCAAGAGGTTCTCCGCCGAACTGCATATCCGGGTATAGGAGTTTGTGACTCTCCGCCGCGGCGGCGGAAACGCTTACCGCAGTCGCCGGGCCCTGCAGCGCCAACGCGGACTTCGTCAGTCTGGCGGCCACCTCCTTCCTGGCGGTCTTGCGCAACTTCGTCAGGAGCGCTTGCAAGATCGGGTCGGTCGCGACGGGGGGTAGATCCGGCTTGTCTGAACCCGCGTTCACCGAAGTCCCGCTCGCGCTTGCGAAAAACGCGTAGCTGTCCATGTAGAGCAGAGACAAATTTCGCAAAACTGTCGACTGACTGTTGATGAAGTACTTGTCCGCGAACTGTAGACAGCCACGCACGCCCCGGAAAAAGTCGTTGAGAAACAGAAGCGGCGGCACGGGGTCCGGATTCTGTCCGAGCGATTTCGCAATCGCCGCGTCGTTGTTGCGCTGCTGAAATTCCGCCATCACGTCGAAAAGCGATAGATGGAAGTTCCAGAAATGCACTATGCCGTTGAAGACTAGCCATCCCTGTTGAAATCGGTCGGCGATCTCCAAGCCGTACAGAACTAAATCAACAATGGTTCGCTTCGTCGCGTTGCGCTCGGCGTACTCTTCCGGCTCGAGCTCCACCATCGGCTCCTCGTCCTCCTCGGTGCCGGAGAAAAGCGCGTAGACGGTTTCCTCTGCGATCCCGCAAACGGAATCCAGTTCCTCGCACAGCACTTCCGCTTTGCGGAACGCGACCTGCGCGAGCGCGACCGCCGGCTCGATCTCCGCGGGCCAGGGGCCAAATTTGAGGAACTTTTCGATGAACAACGCCCGGTCGCACATTTCCAGTACGTCCTTGTACGGCATCTTCTTCTCCCAGGCCCGCGCGCTGCACTGCGCGAAGAAAAGCGCGATCAGCTTCATCTTCTCGATCCCGATTTCCCGGTCGCTTTTCGCCCTCGTGTCCATGGAGTTCACCGACACCGTCACGTCCGTCGTCGCGGGAACGACCGTGCAGGGGGCGTGCGCCGGGTTGTAGGGCGTGATGGGTTTCGTCGGCTCGTCGATCCACTGCGGAAGCTTGACGTACTTGTGCCGCAGCATGTCCTCGTTGATCTCTTTGTACAATGGCTCGAACTCCTCGACCAACAGCTTCTGGTAGGCCTTCCTGATCACGTTTGCCGTGATCGGTTCCTGGTCCAGCCACAGCATGATTTGGTCCAACGACTCCGGGTCGTCGTACAGGTTCAGTTTCCACTTCAGCAGGTGGCTCAAGGGGTTCACTGCCTGCGTCCGCATGCGCCGGGTGAAGGGGTTCGGATCCAGTTGCGTACCGGTCTTCGCCAGTTCTGCTTCGTCGGCTGGTTTCGGCTTCTCCGCGTCCTTCAGCTCCCGGTCGACATTACGCGTCTCGTCCAACGCCTTGGCCTTGTTCAGCTCTTCTTGGCCCTTCGTGAGCAAGTCGGAGGCCACTTCGCACCTGGCAGCCTCGTAGTGCAGCAACGTGCGGAGGATGAACAGGTTGGACTGTAGTTCCGCGAGCACTTCCGCGGCCCGCGAGAGCGATTTGTGCACTTGCGCGCGGTACTTCGTTTGGAGGAGTGGGACCGAAAAGTTGTAAACCAGGGTCGCCGATTCCTCGACCAAGTCGAGGGATTCTATGCGCTTCCCGGCGACGATGCACTGCTCGCAGAGGCGGACTGCCTGCATATCCAGTGCAAATATGTCTGGGTCTGGAAGAATGCAACTTGTGAGGCGCATTTCGGAACACAGAAAAATCTCTCATGCATAGGCAGCAAAAGTTGCCCGCTTTCTGTCACCAAAATGGCGGACTTGTCATGCAGATTCAGCATTGTGGAAGCTTCGCGAAACCTGTGATGCTAGAGCTTCCATGCCAGACCTTCTGCGTCATGCAAAAACAGCATGGCCCTTCCAGACCCAGACATTTTTGCTTTTGATACTGCACGCGCGCGGAAACTTCCCGCTCCCACTGCTCTTCCGGCGAGAGCACCATTCCGGTCTCGGCTTTGTACTCGATCAGGTTGCAGGCTGGTTTAGTTTTTATTCTTCGTCGAAATCACAGCTCGAAGACCCCTAAGAACAACGGAAAACCGATAGAAAAGCAAGACGGTGCCGAGTTAGAAAAATGAGCACCCAGTAAGTATCTATACCGTTCCACACATCGATTTGCGACTTGGCCATGTCAATCAAAATCCTGCCTCTTGGTGGTGGCGCGCGCAAAAGGAGTATTCTGGCGTACATGGTCCTGGCCAGGTTGAAGTTGCCCGCGGTCGTTGCGGCTTTGAGCGCGCCGGCAAGCTTGATCTGCACGTCGGGGATGTTTAGGTCGTTGCCCGGTCGTTCCACGTACGCCTTGCCCTGGCTCTTCCAGAACTCGTCGAAGGCTTTGTCGAAGCTGACCCAGTACTTCACCAGCTCTCCCTCCACCTCGTTCGGCGCCGAGATCCCCTTGTTCTGAATGAAGAGCGTCACCGAGTGCGGATCTTGACCCAGCACTGGCTTCGCGTTGCCGCGGAACATGTGGGCACGAGCAGCTTCCACGAGGGGGCGGACCCAATGCGGAAGCTCCACCTGATATCATTCCTCGGTGGTAGATTTTTGTGAAGATCCAGATGCAACGCAAAACTGTACTAAGTATTGCTGAATACCGCCGTATAAGCGAACTGCCTCCTTTAGACTCCCCTGTAGTAGCAAGACTCAAACCTGTCAGCTATGATCGAACAAACCATGCATTTTTATACTGCAGGGTCCGCTTCCACCGTCTTTACCACATTGAGCGCTTCGTCCAGCAGCTTTTGCGCATCCGCCGTCTGGTTGTTATCGTCCAGCCCGAAGGCTAAATTCAGCAGAAATTCGATGCGCCACTGCAGGGCTACCGGGGAGCGACTCTGCACGTACCCGTCCACTTGCGAGGTAATCGTCGTCAATGCGGTCAAAAGTTCCCGCGTCTCTTCCAGCACCCGGTTTTGCCAGCCGTTTATTCGGCACAGCGGGCGAACCAGGTCCCAGTACAGCAGTGTCGCGTTGTAGACAATGAAGTTGTACCTGGATTTGAATTCCGCCTGCTCCGCAATCTTGATCGCCTGGCGCAGGTAGGACAACGCGTGCTTTACCTGCACCACCAAGTGGTCGCCCTTCATCTCCGCGAGGTTCTTCTTCGCCTCCACCTGGGCACGCACAAGCAACCCGCGCGCGACCCATTGGCTGTTGCTGGCAGTGCACCGATCGAAAAGATCCAGCGCGCGCTCGATGTTCGTGACGTTGAGCGGCGGAGGCACGAGCAAGGCAACCTCCGCGTACTGGACCAGCAGATCCGCGGAAAACTCATTTTCGAGAAACTTGTCAAAGTTCGTGTTCAGAATCGCGAACGCGTTGCGGACGAGCGGGCGGATGTTCCCGAGCACCGAAGTGTCCTTGGATTCCTCCCGCGCCCGGGTCACCAGGTACCGCAGGTGGAAATCCGTCGACGCGCTGCTCGGCATTGTGGGCGAGGGAAGATGCAAGAAGCGCGAACACGTGGGGTTAGTCGGTAGCAGTGAAACGCCGATCTGTCGTTCTAGCCTTTCGGCTTTTTCCTGTCGGTTGCGATCATTTCCGCCATCTTCGCTTTGGTCTCGGATATCCGTAGGCCACCAGGCATGTTGACACTGGTGGGATTGTCGTGGAATTCAAACAAGTGAACAACTTCGATAATATTCACCGCCCCCCAACAAGAAGACACGATTCGCTCATCCACTTTAGCCAAAATTGCAACTCTGTTCATCTCCGACACCACAAGCACTGTTCTGAGGCCTGCCGGCCTGACTGTGGCATTCAAGCTCTCCTCGTCGGCCTACTAGGTGTCTCACTCAACTATTGCAAGCGGTATATTACCCTGACCGCAGGGATCAAATGTAAAACCGTCCTACCCACATCGCGCAACACGTTGCCAGTGGTCCGTAGCCCGATTGCCGAATGGAGCGGACTTCTTTGAATTTGCAGATTAAGTTGCAGAACGCCCGCGCGCACGCACGCAGTCGCGCTGGACAACAGGAGCATACATCATAATACATGTACAGGTTTCTCGCACGTGGCACATTTTAGCACTACGGCTTACCATGAGCACAAGTGGACTTTTCAGTTTCCGCTTCTGGTGCAGTAAAAGGGTTCCTGTACTAGTCGCAGTGAATGACCACAGGGAACCAGACTCATTTTGATTTTGAACCAGCTTCACGCTCGTAGTTCTTCACGCCCCCCGCTTACAACCTCTACAACCACTGCCAGTTCCTCACTGACACCATTCACCTGCGTGTGCCCTCATGGCTCGCCCTGTAGCGCCCTGTAATCGTCGTCGGACAAGACGCGCATCGTGGGGATCATGCAGCACATGCAGAAAGAGCACAGGAAACTGAAAAACGCGACCATGCCGCCAATCAGGTGCGTGAAGGCCAGCCAGGTCGTCCAGGTCTCCAGTCCGGGGAGGTACTCTACGCGGAACTGCTCCTGGCCCTGGACCTCCCAGGGGCGAAGCTTACACTGCTGGAAATCCGAGTCCAGCAGGTCGTTCCACCACTTCTTACCGAAGTTGGCTCCGGTTACCCCGTCCTCCTCGCCTTTCTTGCGGTCCGCTGCGGCGACTGCGACCTGCGCGGCGTCGTCCGCATCCAGGAGAATCTGGGAGTTGGTGGTCTTCTCGTTTTTTAAAGCACCTACAACTGATGATGCTGACGGAAGTGTCGTTTGGTCCAAGAGAATAAGTGCGCCCGTGGCAGAGTGCGAGAGCGTCGCCGTGTGCACTTGGTCCTGCTGGGAAGTTCTTGTGCGTCCATGATTTGCTGCTGCTGTGCTTGTAGATGAGCCTCCGAGCTGGTTTGCGATCAGAGAACGGGCCGTGGCGAGCAATGACGTCGACGCTGATTTGTCGTCAGCTGCAACGCGAGAGGTCGAAGATGAAGATGATCTACCCACGGCGTTCGTTCTCGGGCCATTCCCGTTATTTCCTCCAGAATTACGTGCACTATCGCCCTCAAGTGCGTTCGAGGCAGCATGGATATCGCGCTGAAACCTGTCCGCAAGCCGCTTGGAATCTTCCTCCTCTCTTCGCGCGAATTCCTGCGCTGCTTCAACATCCGTTCGAGCGATGTGGGAAGCGATGTCGCCTACCTAGAAGAAGTTGCGGATTGATTGAAGTAAGAGGAGGCACGGGCCTAGTCTACTCCTGCACAAGACTGAATGTTCTGTCGACTCACGTGACCCTAAATGACGTGTACGACTACTTACGAGAAAATGAAAAGTGGCTACATTCTAGTCGTACACCGATGAAGCATTCACTAGAACAGTCATACCTGCGACTGGACTTTGATCTCCGCGTTCGTCACTTGTGTGTCGGAACGCAAAAAGCCCTTCACCCATTTAGTCAGGAAATCTTTCGTGTTGTTTGCCCCGCTGTTGAGGAAGTCCCGCACGCCCGCCACCATGTCTCCGAAAGACAAAGCTTCCTCCTTTTCCTTGGGCGTTAGGTTTGGGTGCTGATCGTCTACTTGCGATGGTACTTCTGCTTCTGCTAGGAGGAGTGCCTGTTTTACACTTGCAGCAGAAGTGCGTACTTCACTCTTTTCTTGTTGCGCTGTCGACGGAAAGAGCTCCTCCTTGCGTTTCGCGATTTCGTGGCCGAGGTTGCTCAGGTGCCCAAGAGCGCTGGCCTTAGTTTGTGAAAAATCCAATGCCGGGAGGACGGGTTTCACCACACTGGCAATGCTTGGAAGAACGGCGTCGCGCAGCTGCGGAAGAAAGCGGGAGTCTGAAAATGTTCGTAATGACAATACTTAGGCAATCTCCGCTACATTTTCCAGTTACAGTTTGCAACTTCTCGGACCTCGGCTGGAGTGCTCGCCGCCGACCTCCGTTCGACGTCCGACCAAGTCCCCGCCATCAGTTCGTCATATGACGAACTGATGGCGGGCACCTCCAGCCAAATCCGACCAGCTGCCCACCATCAGTTCGCTATATAGCGAACTGATGGCGGGCAGCACCCGGAGGTCCGACCAGGTGATCCAGGTGATCCGACCAGCTGCCCGCCATCAGTTCGCTATTAGGCGAACTGATGGCGGGCAGCACCCCGAGGTCCGACCAGGTGATCCGACCAGCTGCCCGCCATCAGTTCGCTATTAGGCGAACTGATGGCGGGCAGCACCCCGAGGTCCGACCAGGTGATCCGACCAGCTGCCCGCCATCAGTTCGCTATTAGGCGAACTGATGGCGGGCAGCACCCCGAGGTCCGACCAGGTGATCCGACCAGCTGCCCGCCATCAGTTCGCTATTAGGCGAACTGATGGCGGGCAGCACCCCGAGGTCCGACCAGGTGATCCGACCAGCTGCCCGCCATCAGTTCGCTATTAGGCGAACTGATGGCGGGCAGCACCCCGAGGTCCGACCAGGTGATCCGACCAGCTGCCCGCCATCAGTTCGCTATTAGGCGAACTGATGGCGGGCAGCACCCCGAGGTCCGACCAGGTGATCCGACCAGCTGCCCGCCATCAGTTCGCTATTAGGCGAACTGATGGCGGGCAGCACCCCGAGGTCCGACCAGGTGATCCGACCAGCTGCCCGCCATCAGTTCGCTATTAGGCGAACTGATGGCGGGCAGCACCCCGAGGTCCGACCAGGTGATCCGACCAGCTGCCCGCCATCAGTTCGCTATTAGGCGAACTGATGGCGGGCAGCACCCCGAGGTCCGACCAGGTGATCCGACCAGCTGCCCGCCATCAGTTCGCTATTAGGCGAACTGATGGCGGGCAGCACCCCGAGGTCCGACCAGGTGATCCGACCAGCTGCCCGCCATCAGTTCGCTATTAGGCGAACTGATGGCGGGCAGCACCCCGAGGTCCGACCAGGTGATCCGACCAGCTGCCCGCCATCAGTTCGCTATTAGGCGAACTGATGGCGGGCAGCACCCCGAGGTCCGACCAGGTGATCCGACCAGCTGCCCGCCATCAGTTCGCTATTAGGCGAACTGATGGCGGGCAGCACCCCGAGGTCCGACCAGGTGATCCGACCAGCTGCCCGCCATCAGTTCGCTATTAGGCGAACTGATGGCGGGCAGCACCCCGAGGTCCGACCAGGTGATCCGACCAGCTGCCCGCCATCAGTTCGCTATTAGGCGAACTGATGGCGGGCAGCACCCCGAGGTCCGACCAGGTGATCCGACCAGCTGCCCGCCATCAGTTCGCTATTAGGCGAACTGATGGCGGGCAGCACCCCGAGGTCCGACCAGGTGATCCGACCAGCTGCCCGCCATCAGTTCGCTATTAGGCGAACTGATGGCGGGCAGCACCCCGAGGTCCGACCAGGTGATCCGACCAGCTGCCCGCCATCAGTTCGCTATTAGGCGAACTGATGGCGGGCAGCACCCCGAGGTCCGACCAGGTGATCCGACCAGCTGCCCGCCATCAGTTCGCTATTAGGCGAACTGATGGCGGGCAGCACCCCGAGGTCCGACCAGGTGATCCGACCAGCTGCCCGCCATCAGTTCGCTATTAGGCGAACTGATGGCGGGCAGCACCCCGAGGTCCGACCAGGTGATCCGACCAGCTGCCCGCCATCAGTTCGCTATTAGGCGAACTGATGGCGGGCAGCACCCCGAGGTCCGACCAGGTGATCCGACCAGCTGCCCGCCATCAGTTCGCTATTAGGCGAACTGATGGCGGGCAGCACCCCGAGGTCCGACCAGGTGATCCGACCAGCTGCCCGCCATCAGTTCGCTATTAGGCGAACTGATGGCGGGCAGCACCCCGAGGTCCGACCAGGTGATCCGACCAGCTGCCCGCCATCAGTTCGCTATTAGGCGAACTGATGGCGGGCAGCACCCCGAGGTCCGACCAGGTGATCCGACCAGCTGCCCGCCATCAGTTCGCTATTAGGCGAACTGATGGCGGGCAGCACCCCGAGGTCCGACCAGGTGATCCGACCAGCTGCCCGCCATCAGTTCGCTATTAGGCGAACTGATGGCGGGCAGCACCCCGAGGTCCGACCAGGTGATCCGACCAGCTGCCCGCCATCAGTTCGCTATTAGGCGAACTGATGGCGGGCAGCACCCCGAGGTCCGACCAGGTGATCCGACCAGCTGCCCGCCATCAGTTCGCTATTAGGCGAACTGATGGCGGGCAGCACCCCGAGGTCCGACCAGGTGATCCGACCAGCTGCCCGCCATCAGTTCGCTATTAGGCGAACTGATGGCGGGCAGCACCCCGAGGTCCGACCAGGTGATCCGACCAGCTGCCCGCCATCAGTTCGCTATTAGGCGAACTGATGGCGGGCAGCACCCCGAGGTCCGACCAGGTGATCCGACCAGCTGCCCGCCATCAGTTCGCTATTAGGCGAACTGATGGCGGGCAGCACCCCGAGGTCCGACCAGGTGGTCCGACCAGCTGCCCGCCATCAGTTCGCTATTAGGCGAACTGATCCGAACTGATCCGACAGGCTGGTCCGACCGGCGACCAGCTCCCCGCCATCAGTTCGTCATATGACGAACTCATGGCGGGGACCTGGTCGGACCCGACCTCGATTCTGATGATGCGATCTCGATCTGACCTCATAAAGATAAAAGCGAGAAGACATGATAAGCAGCTACATCGTACCTGCGAGCGGACTGAAGTCGGTGACTACTTCGTCGAGACTGTATCTGTGCGCAGCTGCGAGCTCGATCGAGTTTCTACCCAACGCAACAGGGTCGTTTGCCACAGGGGCCGTGGGCCTTTCGCGTTCCGAGAGTTGAATCCCGTCAAGAGCAGTTATTGATGGCGTGTCCGGGTTGCCAGCTTCTATTTTCACCACCGCCGCGGTGGTCTCTACCGCGGGCGGACTCCTGCAAAGCTCGTCCACAGCGTTTTCTAAATTTTCTGCTTTCATTTTCTCGCATTCCACGCACTCGCCGGGTTTCCTTGTTCCGATGGCAGTGACAACCGGCGACGCATCCAGGTCGTTCCACTCCACGTAATCCTGCAGTGTTACCCCAGGTGGTACCAGCGCTTTCCCGCACTGCACGACAACTCCGGCTTCAGGCAAACACTCCGTCTTGCCCGCCAGATTGTTTGTATCGTTGTAGCGCTTCTCGTAGGCAGGATGCGCACTGAGAACGCAATCGACGAACTTCGCAGTACCCTCATCTCCGGCCTGTTTTCAAAAAGATTGAACGGTCATGCGGCATGTTATGCCCTTTGATGGTCTCTAGTAAAGACAAGGAGAACCCGGTCCGAATGGTAGACAGCTCCAGCGAGAGGACCGAGGAACATCGATCTTTCTCGTAACGTTCATCAGTTGTCTCGAACAAGAGGTGACTACTTTAAAAGTAACAGTACCTTTTTCCATCCTTTCGGCAGTGACGTGTCTTCGTTGCACAAGTTCTCCCCTGTCGATAGCATGCAGCACTCTTTCGCTGGCGAACACGCGTCGAGATAGCCCTCGGCGGCTGGCAACGCAACCAAACCCAGGGTCGCCGTCAACGCCGTTACCACAGCCATAAACACGAAGATGCATAGGTTGCAGCAGCAGAACAGGCCAAGGCAACCGCGTCCGTACTGCGTTGCCCCACACCTGCCGAGAAGAAAGAGGAGCAAGAAACTACAAATGGTGCACGCGAACGAGCCAACGAAGTCCTTCGCTTCGGGCACCCAGCTCGGCGTCGACTGTCCGAAGAGCATAAACTCGCCGTTCCCGAGCGTAATTCCGCCGAGGATTACAGCGTAGAAGATCCATCCCCAAGCAAAGAACAACACCAGCCGCTGGTAGGTCTTCAGACACGGAGTTGGATAGAAAGCAGCGAATACACGAACCTCCGGCATCTTGCTGTGCTTTTATTCAAATGGAAATGTGCAATTGCGAAGGTGAATACTTCTTCGCACTACGTACGGATACAGTCGTGCGTGGATTTCTCCTTCAACACTCTGATCAACATGATCGTCAGGGTCGCGATCTTGGTGTGCGAGTCCGTGTGCGATAGTTTCATGATCCAAATAAAACTACTAAACCAGGACTAGCATCAGACTAGTGTGTGATCCGATAGTCGACAGCAGAGACGAACAAAAAACTGGTAAGAACAAGGAGTCTGTGTGGTCATTCGCATCGGTGAAAACAAGGGAACGCTCATCGACGGCATCGTCGTCTTTTTTCGAGAGAGGGCTGAACGAATAGAGTCGGTGTGTGATAAAGGAACACAAAGGCTACGGGCAAGTCGCTTTTTTCAATTCTCAGGTGCGGCTATTGAGTTATTGGCGTCCTGAATTTTTTCAACTGCGAATGAATGAGAAATTGAAAGCCAACAACTCCTCTTGTCGTGAATCATCGTACAGTTTACAAGGAACAACTGCGAGCCTAATGCTAATCCGTGTTCATTTACATATTTCTTGCGATCTTTCGAAACTTTAGGATTGAACCGCCTCCGCACTGCAGTCCGCAAATTGCTGCTCAACAGTAGAAAACGCTCGAGCATACTGGCGAAAGGTAATTGCGTTGCCGCCACTTTGCGTTACCGCATCGTCGTCTTGCTGAAGCTCCAATGCCGTGCTCGCCCGGCAAATCGTAATTTTTGGTTTCTTTGCAACTAGCGCGGCTGCAGCACCTGCTCCTTTGTCTACTGGCAGCTCCCCAACTCCACCAGCACTTCGCGCGCAGACAGTACTTCTTTTGTCAACTTCCTCACGACAAGCAGTGTGGTAGAAGCGAAAGATTTCGTCCAGTTCGACGTCGCTAATTCGATCGAAACCGTTTAAGCCCGTCGCCCGCTTGTGCTGCCGGTTGATAGCAGCGGAGGGTGCGAGGGAGTACCGCAGAGAGGCCCGCGTGATCAACCCGTCATTCGCACACGAGGCGAATCGTGGAAAAATGTCCGCTAGCAGTCGCGCTCCCGTTTCCACATCGCCAGCCCGTCGAGACGCTGAGCGGCCCAAAGGGAGGAGCCAGGCGGCAGCAAGGAGATCGCGGTAGGTAAGACTTTCCGACCCTTGTGAGCCGAGCGCTGCCGCGAGCCGCATACCGTCTTCGCGCGAAACGGAGAATGGTGCGGAAACGGGTGGTGCTTGGTCCGGGCAATCCGCATTTTCCTCTGGCCTTTCTGCAAACCTGGTTTGTGGAGCGAAAAAAGATCGAAAGAAAGAACAAAGCGTTCCCCGTCGATAAAGTACTGCTAGTGGTAGCGAATCAGCTCATACATCCCTAGATTCGAAGAAAGACCACACTTTTGTTCGGCTCCTACAATAACCTTACCCCTGCGCTGCGGCGAGCAATTCCATCCGGTTCACCAATCCGTCGCCATTGCGATCCATAAGCGAGAAGATGGTGCGAAATTCGTCTGAAATATGAGGCTCGTCGAGCTCCTTGGCCATGAGCCGCAGCGTGGCCTGTGTGAGGCGGTCCAACCTTGCGAAGAGAAACAACCCGCGAAAAAGTTGCTCGATCAGGTCGCCGGAGCGCCTGGTTTGGTGCTTCACTGCCGCGACATTATTCGTGACAAACGGATAGCTGATTGCCTGTCGGGCGGCAAGCCGCCTCCTGGGATCCTTTTCCAACAGTTTTGCACAGAAGTGCTTCGCGTCTCGTGCACTGTCCTGTCGCAATCTTCGCTGCTTGTCTTCGTCTCTATTCGGGTCCACTGCGGCGTTCGTGGGCTTGTTGTGCTTAACGACAGCTGCTGCATTCATGCACGCAGAAAGGAACCTCCGCCAGTCGGGGTCCGTGCTGACGATCCGGCCGCGGCAGGACTTGTAATCGTCGCGGCCGGGTTCGAAAAAAGGGTGCACGCCGGTGAGCATGACGAACAACAGCACCCCAATGGCGAAGACATCACTTTGTGCGCTGTACTTGCAGGACGTGTGGATTTCTGGGGCCATGTAGTGACAGGTCCCGCAGCGCATGCGGCTGTCAATGCGGTCAAGAAAGTCCGCTAGGCCGAAGTCGATGATTTTCAGGACGCCGTTGGACAGGAGAATGTTCTCCGGTTTGATGTCCCGGTGGAGAAGGTTTCGCGAGTGGCAATACGCAAGCGCAGAAAGGATTTGCTTCGTGTAGTTGGCGGCCCGCTCGAGGGAAAAACACGGCGGACACCTACCTGGAGGTTCGGGTTGTTGGTGTAGGTCTACAGTCAGCCCACCGCCATTGGTCCGCGTGTTGTTCAAGACCCCACGGGTCAACCGATCCGCTTTCGAATTCCCTTTACCACTGCCGCCCGACGACGTGGCCACGTACACTGCGGTTTTTATCGCATCGTCCAGAGTTCCCTGCTCGCAAAATTCCAGCAGCAAGAAAATGCTCGCCCTCTCGAAGTAGCAGCGATACAAGCGACAAACATGCGGATGATCCAGGCTCTTCATGGTTTCTATCTCGGTATGAATGAGATCGCGGTCGGCTTTGTTTTCGATTTTCACCTGTTTGCACGCGCGGCGAAACTTGGACTTCTTGCTCCGGACTAATTTCACACTCCCGAAGGCTCCCTTGCCGATGTCAGCACTGCGGGCTGCGGTTGATGAGGCGCGCCCGGCCTTCTTCGTTCCTGCGGGTTCTGGCTTGCTGCAGAGCTCAAAGTCGTGGTAGACCTGGCCTGCTTCGTCGTAAGAGGGGATCACGACCTCAGAATTGATACAGACGGATTTTCGCCGCAGGGCTGGGTCGGAGACGCTTCGCCGAAATTTCGGGAGGCCGAGAGTGACGATTTTGCTGCGCTGCGGCTGTTGACGGATAGGCTGTTCGAGAAGTCCTTGTTGAAAAGGTGGAGCTACTGTTGATATTTTCACACTGGGCACTGTCCGAGCATGCTCGTCGTCTGCGGCACAGAACTCTTCTACTGATTGCAGGAGCTTATGTTCGTCTTCTCGAACCGGTGTCGATGGCTCAGAATTCCTACTCCCCTCTTCAGAAATAGGTGCGAATTGCACCACTTGCTTCGTGACCCGCGCTTCACAGGATGAACTGCGACCCTTACTTGTCATGTTCTTACTTGCGCGCGCGACGATGGGAGGCGGGAGTATCACCTCGTTTGTAGCTGCTGCTTCCTTGTTCTGCTCTGATTTCCTGAAATGATCTTCTTGAACTTGTAAAGCCAGGTTTGGCGGAGCTTTTGCTTTCAGTTTTTCCGCGCGTGTGGCGGTCCTCTCGCGTCGCTTTCCACCTTCTTCAGCCCGTACCTCGTCTTCCTCTTGCAATCCCGCTAATGGTTCTTCAACCTTGATATCCGTATCGCTCGGCTTTGTCCTCTGAGAACCCTTTTTATCGCTCGCAGAGGTTTTTTCGTTGGAATCTTCTCGCGGCGTAATGGTACTGTCTGCAATCTTTGCGTTTGGAGACGTGCATTTTTGAATCCCCTCGGAGGTGGTCTTTGGTTTACTACCACCCTCTGCAGCACCGGCTTGACCTTGCGCACCCGCACTGTTTTTGTTCGAACTACTTCCTTTCCCGCTGATTTGCTTTTGTTGGCCGCCACGCATGGCGAATTTCAGGAACTGCCTGGCGATCTCCGGAAGATCCTTCTTTGCGCAAACCCAGGGCTGCTGCTGTCCATCGTTTTTTTCGCTCACAGGTGTTCGCGACGACTTCTTCGCCCGGTGTGCAGCAAAGTTGGTGAAGGAATCTTGATACCAGGTGTCGCGCGGTCGTCGGCCCTGCAGTCGGCGATCGGCGCCATCTACGTGAAAAAAAATGTACTCGAGCGCCACTTTGCACTGCTCGTATCCGAGCCGTCCCGTCCCTGCTGGGTCAACGAAGGGCAGCACTTGTGTGGCAAGCTGCAAAACTTTTTTCGTGCAATCTGCGTCGTTGGGCGAGGGAACAAGGGAGTTGTTTTTATTTGTCGGAGCCAATAAAGGAGCCCCCTGGGCCTGCTGTTGTGTTGGTTTTTGGAAGTTCTTGCCGCCTACCAGCCTTCGCTGAAGCTCTTGCTTCTTCGCCACGTTGGCATTCTGTTTGGTTATCTTGATGTTCGCACCACCAGCACCACCGGCTGTCCGAGGCTGCTGCCCGGGTAGCAATTGTTTCTCTGCACATTCATCTCGCGCGGACAGAGGAGTGTGTCCACTGGACGAGGACGACAGCTGTCCGCTGCCCGATCGAGCCGATGTGGACCCCGACGACGTGACCCCACCGGCGGTCGTGGGGGTGGTCGCGCCGCCAGAAGCTGAAGACTTCGTAGGAGCGATTCCGCCGCCTGGCGCATGTGCGGCGGGCTTCTCAAGAAGCTTCTCTTTCGTAGCCGCCGGCCTCTGCACGCCAGCAGCCAGGTCCTCGCGTCGCGGTGGGCCGAACCGGAGCTGCGGTCGAGTCGCTGTGGTAGCAACCATCTTGTTGAGATGGACAGTTGGTGATTTACCGAACCTGGTTTGTTTTCTCTGTCTACTTCTGCTCCGGTGATGCGCGGCCCCCTATTTTGCGAAAAACACAGACAGACTCTCTCGGCGGAATTTGAATTTTCGCAAAACCATGCTCCTCATGTCCTCTAGTTCGCAAACAGCACGGCGATTGCAGCTCAATTATTGAGTAGTCAGGTCCGCACTGACTCTTTCTCACTGTCTCTTGTGACTTTTCGCTCTGCTCTTCTGTTGTTGAACATCTAGGATGCAAAAGGTGGCAAGCGCAAGCAGAAGCACCAATACGACATGTCCTCATAAGCAGCATTTCAGTAAATTCGGAGTATGGAGCGTTAGGAAAACAGCTATTCATACCTCCAGACGAGGTCAGTACAATCCACATGTGCTCTGAGTTTCGTGTCTTTTTGATGCATCCTTTTTAAAACTTTCCAAATTTCTCTTCCAGCAAATCCTTCGCTGCGTTGATCTGTTGCATTTTTCGCTCGCTGTCCGCGTCCGCACACCGATCCGGGTGCAACTTCCAGAGCGCATCTCGCCATCGCGCCTTCATCTCGTCCTTGTCCACACACGACGGCTTCAAGTCTAAGCACCGTAACGCAAAAGTCACGGCTTTGTCCGAAGGGCCTGTCGGTAGTTCCGGAGGTTCGTAGTAGTGGCTGTTCGCACCCGCGGCGCCTGGTCCAGAAGTTTCGTTTCGACTCGACGCGGTTCTTTGGCTGCGCTTCTTCTTCGTAGTCCCGTTCGCCGATTTGCCGCGTGTCTCCAAGTCCAACCCTTTTGTCAAGTGCCTGTGGCGAATGTCCTCCCAGCTGGCATCGTACGCGATTTTCCACTGCTTGCAGACGTCCGCGAAGACTTCATCCGTCAGAAGGTGCTCCTCCGCTCGCAAGTCGCGCAATGCCGGAAAACCTTCCCTCTCCGGGAGCAAGTCCGGCAACTCCCGCGTTTTCATCAGCATCCTCGTTCGGGAAACCTGGTACGGATCGAACGTGGGGAATGCCAGCGTCAAGAGTTTCCCCAGCGTGTCCGCATCTCGCCAGCCAACGTGCCACTTTTTTAGCGCGCCTGCACCTTGGCCGTGCTCGGCGGGTGCTCTGGACGTGCTGCCCGTTGCAGTGCTGCCGTCGCGGTCATCTCCAGCACTGGAAGACGAAGCGAAACGCCGTCGGCTAAAGTTGCACAGAAAGACGATGCAAGCGCCGTACGAAGACGCGTTATCTGTGATGGACGAGAGCGAGGATCTTCCTGCCGTCGGGGTGATGTCTCGTGGTCTGTGCCGTCGCAAAGCGGACACCGTCCGCCTCAGACCTGGTGGCAGAGCAACCGCTGCGCCGCCCTTGGCGTTGATACATCTTGTCGCGCTCCACATTCATTGCAGGCATATGCTGCACTGTGCGAGAGCGTTTCATCATTCGTCGGCAGAACAAACTACAGTGTTATGATCGGTTCCACAAATCACAACACAACACATTGAAACTCACCTCTTTGGACCAAAGACACACAGGGAGCGCGAGTCTTTGCTACTCTGTCGTGCCTGCAGCAGCCAGGGACAGAATTCCTCACCACATTGCCGTCACGTCATGAACAAACACATTCATCGCCTTCCTGAAACTTGATTTTGTCCGTTTCAAGATTTTTGAATCTGGATCTGCTTTGTTTACACATGAGCCTGACGCAGCAGTAGTGATTGCGGCTACAAATCCCTGCTTCATCGAGATGAATCAGAGACAGAGCAGATGATTTTGAAACGTGAAACGGAAACGCGATTGATAAATGTTCGTATCTTACACCACACAAACACAATGAAAGTCACATACAACGATATTTATCTCCCTTCCTCCAACGGCGTCAGATCGGCTTGAAACCCCCGCTCCTTCGCCGTTTCCAGGAAAGCCTGTAGTTCCTCCGGTGAGGGCATTGCCGGCGCGCACCCAACACGTGTGACCACGATCGCGGCCGCTGCGGAGGCACGACGCAACGCTTCCTTAATCTCGACCTCTTCGTCCACTAGGTGCGCCAGCAGGTTTCCCATGAAGGCGTCGCCCGCCCCGGTCGGCTTTAACGGCGAGACTTCGAACACACCGATCTTCAACTCGTCGACTACTTCCTTCTCCAGATCAACAGAAAGTGGCGGTACTGCGGCCGGTGCACTTGGTTGTACCAACCCAGCTCCTGAGTCCCCAGCCGCTCCCGCTTGGATTTTTTGCGCGAGGAGTTCTTCAGGCTGCAGACCTTTTGGGTTGTTGCAGGCAGACGAGGCACTGGTGATTTTCCTGTTGTTCACAAACGACACCGAACCGTCCTGGCCCATCTTGAACACAGTCATCAGGCAGGCGCCACTGGAAACAAGAAGTTTAGCGAATCGCATCCCCCGGCCGTACTCGGCGCTGCCCTCCTTCACCTCCGCAACACCCCCGTGGACGACGTTGGCGGTCGTCGGAGAGTTTGTGGTCGAAGTGGTTTCCGGTGGGCCGGCTACAACAGCGAACTCGGCCTCGTTCCCCACCACGATGTCGCACAAGCAGGCTGCCTTCCGGTAAACCTGACTGGCTTCGGCGGCAGACTTCCATGTGTACGGGCGATAGTCCACGTCGAGAACGGCGGGGATACCGCGGGCCTTGGCAAGCCGCAAAGCGGTCAGGGTCGCGGAGCGGCTCGGTTCCAGAGCGAGGCTGGTGCCGGTAGCTGGTCATTTTGCAATTCTTTGAAGACTTTAATGATGATGATGATTTAGTGCCTGAGCATACATTCTCAAAAAAGGGAATCCTGTATGTGTTCTTTCTACGACTACACGATACCTAAACCAAAACAACAACGAACATAAACGCGAAGATTCAATCACATCGCCTGCAAGTAGACTTAGCACGAACAAGTAAGATGCGGTGGCAGAGGTGCTCCAAAAAACAAGACAGAGCAGAACAATTTGGAGACGGGAACAAGATGCCACCGAAGGCCTCAATCAACGACTCTTGAAACGAATCAGAGAACGGAGCCCATGTGTGTCTGTGGCGCTAGCGACGCGAGCGCGCCGTGTTGAGAAAGGACACTACCTCTGGGGCGGCCAGCGGCTGTGCCGCAGCGGCGGGCAGCCCTGGGCGCCGCCCAGGCGAGGGCGCCAATGGAAGCCAAGAACCACGCGCGGTGCTGCTGCTCGTGGCCACACGACGCGCGTGCGCGGCAGTTCCGGAAAATGATGAAGCGCGCTCACTTTGCTCCAACACACATGGCGAAGCGCGCTCACCATGCGCGACCACACGATGCCGCCGCCGCCCGGCAAATTGCAGGGCGCCAGCCATGTATCTAGGGCGCCGCCCGAGCCAGGGCAGCGGAAGCAGGGGGGTCGGGATTTCCCCCCTCCAGATTGGCGCCCCGCCGGCGCAGGTGGCGGGCACTTATGCCAAGACGAGCGCGCCGCCGGCTCCTTCTTGTATGTCCCTTTTGCTGTCGCGTTGCAGGCCGATGTCCCGCGCGGACCCGACTGGGGGAGGGCATGATGCAAAATAGCACGCATCTGCGCAGGGCCTTCGCTGCCTGCGCGCGGCGCGCCATCTGCGGGCGCCGCGCGGCGTACGTAGGGCGGTTGGCGAGGCTGGGGCCCCTGCCGCTGCTACTATAGCTGCACAGTACGCCAGCCCGCCGTCCAGAGACGCGCCCGCGCATGTAGTGGGCAGCGAAGGCCCTGGCACTCATCAGAGGAAAAGACGCCAACGATAATTGAAGCGATCGCACCAACGAGGCAGCCCCACTTAGACGGCTCGAGTTCCGTCGCTGTCGAAAACGCCTCCCACACGTGCTCGCTGCTGATCAATAAATCCGCCGCGTGGTTCCGGTAGATGATGCTCTGGTGGTCCGTGCCCAATGTCGTTTCCACCACTGCCAAGCTGATGCGCGCATCTCGGTCCCCGGTTGCTACGTTTACGCACTCCGCGTTTACCCCGTACGCACGCAGTTGATGCAGCGCAAGCCTACCCAACGCGTCATCCGAAACCGTGGTCAACAAGCAACACTCGATCCCCGGACGCCGCTCGCGGTGCTTCGCCAAGGCCACTGCGATGTTGGCCGCCGATCCGCCAAGGTGTGCGACGAAATTGGTCGAGTGCTCGGTCTTCGATCCCGGCGGGTCTGGGTAAAAGTCAACGCCAGCGCGCCCGAGAATTAGGAACCGGGTGTTATCGGCGAGCTTGGAGCGCAAGAGGTCCATTCTTAGTAGAAGCAAACCTCTGATCACCTCACACTCGCCAGCTTCGAAAAATTTCCTTTTGCAGCATTAAAGCACTCGCTCATGGGCTTTTGTAGATTTTCATTTCTTCCATCCGTGCGTGCTACATCATGGCTGGATTGCAAATTATCACTCTTTTGTTCTCAACTCTTGATATTTTGGTTTCCTTCAAACGTGGTTTCTCTCTTCTCGCACAGGCTGTCGCAAGTATTCCCACAGCAACTGCTGTCTCGCTCGTGAACCGGTACGCTTCTAGCACAAGCAACCCCGTCGTTTCTGTTTTGGCGAAGTAGAGTGAACACGTAAACTTATTCTGTATCTTCTCCTGAAAGCGCCTGTTTGAATCGATATGTGTTTTCGTGGTGATTGAAGTCGTTCACAAAATATGTCGCTACAAACTAGGCAAAAGTGTCGCAAAGGTCATTGTCTCAACCACGCTTCCTCGTGTTCACTTCTCTATCTACACAACCCACTGCGTGAGGGGATCTGCCACAGAGTCGGTATTTGGTTCGATGAACCGCGCGTGCCGGCCCGTCAAATTCGAACGCAGCAGTGTCATGTTGATACTATCCAAAGGCTCCAACGTCACTCCCAAATGCTCACACAAGGCGTACTTCCAGTCTTCCGGGGTCCAGCGCAGGCTGATGGAGTCCAGCCGGGGTTTGTTGCTCCACTTCTGGCTCATCTCCGGGCGATTGTAGAGCCACGCGGACGTGTTAGTGTGCGGAAACCACTCGTTCACCTCTCCCCAAAAGTCTTCCATGTTCGTGTAGCACGTCGTCATGGCCTCGCGCAAGCCGATCGCGAACAGATCGGGGTTACCACAGCAATACGTGCTCACCGAGTTCACAAAAATCGTTGCCTTTGGAACAGTAGCTGCGCCTGGGAGCTGATCGCCGGATTCAGCGCTGCTTCCCCGCTTGTTCATGAAGAGCTCTCGAGGACTCGGAAACGAGGACAGAAAGACCATATCCGGGCGAAGTCGTATTATGTAGCGGTACTGGTACCCTAGTTCGTTTTCCCGTCGCTGGATCAGCTTGAAGCAGTTCGCCACATCGGTGTTCATACCGACCGAAGAGCGCCAGGTGGCGGACCCGCGTTTCCACATGAAGGTGCTCCACTTCGGATCCTTGGGGTCAAATGGGGTCTTTTTCGTCTGTGCAACTGGTTCCTCGCTTTTCTGGTACATCATCACGCGCTTCTTGCAAAGAGGATTGATGTGTTCTTTTGCGTTTGGACCTATGCTTATCCCACAAAGCGGCTGCTCCTTCGCAATATGGGGCACAAGTCTGATGGTGCTATCGTCGCGAGGGACACTGCCTTCAAATGCTGTGGCTGATTGCTCGTGAGAGAGGTAAAACCCTGGCGGCTCGACACTCTGATTTGCGTCTGTTGCTGAGGACACAGTACTTGGCGCAAAAAGCATGTATTTCCACAGCGGTCGACTCGGTAACGTGATCGCGAAGACGTCGAAACCGCCGTTGTCCGCGAGAACCGGATAGAGATGCTGGTGCACGGAGGCGGCGTTGTTGCCGAACTTCTCAAGCGACCCACCGGGAGGCGGAGAACCGCGCATCCACCGGTCGACGTTTTCTTCGTCGAAATCGAGCAGCATCCCGTCTGGCCACGTGTGCCCCACTGTACGAACGTCGCCGAACAAGCATACCGCTGCTCTTCCGTCGGCAGCAGGAGACGCGACAGCAGACGGTACGACCTCTGACACCACCAGAAACGGCGGCAGCAGAAACTTCCTCGCCATTCTGATCGCTCATAATGGTTGTTCAGCGCTTTTATCTTACTGATGTTTCGACGTCATGGCAGGAACCAACCTGCGACACCCCGATGGGTGTACTTGAAGGAGAAGGTGGGCAAGAACTTACAACTTAGAAAGTTGCAAAACGAGGGAAACCAAGAAAATGGCCTTCATTGCTGCTATGATCCCGGGGGTGCGTTTGAACACAACTGAAGTAACTCGAACAAAGATATCGGTCGAATGGGCGGCATGGGCAACCTCAGGACAGCCTCCCACTGAGCAGGAGTGAACGTGGGGTGCACTCTAAAGCTCGACTTGATGCTTTTTTCGCCGATATCTTTCTCCGGATCTTCCTGAATCGCCCGAATGGGACCGCGCCCGATACTCACAACGTGCTCGCCCTGGGCGGAAGGAAGCGTCTCTTGATGAAAGCGCCAGTCAGGCTGGGGCTTGAGCTTGGTGTCTTCGTCGGTCGTTTCGCGGGCTGCTAGAACGATTGTCGTATCCTCTTCGGTTTTAGATGCAGAGACGGCTTTCCTCCAGCAAAATTCGCAGTTCAACAACTCGAAGCCAAGGCCGTCGCCGCGGGCCTTGATGAAGCACTCTTTCAAGCTCCAGATCCGCATAAAGTGCCCATAAATGTCCGAAGATGAACCTGCTACAGTTGCGAAATCGCCGAGATTTGTTCCCCTCTCGACTTCATTCCATTCTCCATCCGACAGGCAGTTTCCAAAATCCCGCTTGAGCTGCATCACCTCGTTCTTCAATTCTTCAACGTCCGCGTCCCTGGTCTTGGCGGCCATCTGTGTCGCGTCGTCGGCAACTTTCCCACCACGCACTTTTCTTGCTTCCTTGGGCGCGGCTACGTCAATGCCGAGAATTGCGAAGTAATCTGACGCGCCTACAACGAAAGCACCCTCGTGGCTGATGTTGAAATTGAAGTTGGTGTGTCGCAGCTGCGGCGCATGTAAAAAAGGCTTGCCCCACGACGTGCGCCAAATCTCGATGGATTCCAGTTGGTTTTCAATTTCATCTGTTCGTGCGTCATTTTTCCCAGCTTCCTCCTCTGTTGCGCTTCGTGCCGTGGAACAATTGTTGTAATACTCCTGCACAGAGGCGATGACAGCATCAGTTGCTGGCGCAGCATCGGCACCAGTTAGCTTACTGTCAAGCCATCGGTCGAATTGTACTGCGTCCAATGCGAGTCTTTTCTGCATCAACCTCGACACGAACGCTCGTTTGCGGTCCTCGAGGAAGACGAAACGTAGAACCTTTTCGGAGTCCTCCTCCGGAAGGTGCTGCGTCGCGAGGGCTGCGAAATCATCCTCCGTGATTTCCCAATCGAAAATGTTGAAGCAGTAGCGCGATCCCATAGTTGCTTTGCGGCAGCTATCGCTGGGTCTATTTTTCTTCTTCTACCTCTACGCCGTAGATTACTACTTCTCTAGGTCTAATGAGGCTCGTCGACTTGATCCATCTCGCGTTATGTTATAGACGCAAAATCTAAATCGCGCGTCTGACCCTGACCCTTTTTTTGAACAATATCATGAAATCCAACCAAGCAACCAGTTTGTTCCCGTAAATCACGACGCATGAAGAAAGGTCGAACTTTCGATCGGCATCGGTTTCGGTTTGTTGCCACTAGCATCCATAATCTTCAGCACGGAAGAGCAGTGACGGGAGACGTTGATCTTTCCAGTAGCAATCTATTTGGGATCTGATTTGCTTCATTTTTCTTTGCCGCATGAGATCTCTGCTGAATGAATCTGTTGAGTAAGGATCCGCTGGCACCATTCACGAGAGGACCGACTATTCGTGAGTTTGACTTCTCCGGAATCGCGAATCCGTTTTCTCCCGGGAGTTTCATCGCGCAAAGAAAGGGCAAAACTGAGGCTGCACGTTGCATTTGGGTGGTGCCGCACGTTGCATTTGGTTGGGAGTTTCATCGTCATTTCTTTGTCAGTAGCCTGAAGGTGTGTTTCTGTACAAGAATAGGCAGGAGGGGTTTTACTACGGCAACATCCTCGATGTCCCGTTTTCAAATATTCGCTTTTGCTTTACAGTGACTTCGTGGGCATATCCGGGACGAATGCATGTCGACATTGATGTGAGATTGGTACGTGCTAAACTACGAGGGAGGTCTTCTTCAATATTTTGATGTACAAGTTTTTAGAATCTAATTACAAATTTCATTGTGGATTATGCATCGGCATCGGCTTCACATCTCATCAACGCGACACTTCCCCGGCCGGAGCTGGGAACTGCTCCGCGCCCGCACCTGGGAAGGGCGAGAGCGACGGCGTCAAGTCGCTTTCGCTGAGACTGATGTCGCTCTGCGTCAGGTTCATCGCTTCGTTCGATGTCCTCGAAGATTGGTCGTTGTAGTACAACTTTACACCCGTTCCGACAGCGTAGTAGGCCTGCTCCCCCGGTGGTGTCGTTCCTGGGCGAGTGCGAATCCGCTCCCCGCCGCCACCGGAACCGCCGTCGACATCAAAGTTTATGCTTCGCTGGTCGCTCGCACCGTTGATAGGTGAGCCTGCAGGAACAACAAACTGTTTGTTCCAATCTTCTTCTCTACTGTTGCTCCGCTTCACCAACAGGTTCTCGGCTTTTAGCCTCGCAATCGGGTCCTCCTCCTGCTGTTGGTCTACTCCTGTAGCTGGTGGACTGTTTAACCCTCCCGACGGCGCTGGGGAGGACGACCCAGGCGAAGAGGTCGCGTCCGCGAGTCCGCGGTGTACACCGTCTTTCGCAGCGTGTGCTAGGGTGCCGTAGGCGGAGGAGCTCATTCTTGCACTGCCAAAGATGTGCGCCGCGTGCTGCAAGTCGGTTATTTCCTCTTCGGAAGAGGTTGCGTAGTACTCGTCGTCCTCCGGCGACATCATGCTGGACGTCAAATTGCTTGCAGTGGCCCCGCCGGCTCGCAAGCGACTACGAATGATCTTCTGTTGTGCTTCAAAAGTCGGCAGGACCAGCCAGCGGTGGACCGCGAAAACCAGCAGCAACAAGCCTATCAGCGGCCACGCGAAGACCCAGAGCCGGACTCGGCAGTATCCCATCTTCCGAATGCGGGCGTCAGTTGCACCGAAATAGGAGGAGCGCCGGCACTCCCGGAACCAGGGCATGGAACACTGGCAGGCGTTGCCGCCATTGGGCCTCTTCAACGCGCATCCCGCACCGGCGATGTAGCCCCGTGCGATGTTGTCCTCCAGCAGTTGGAGGGTCTCGTGGTCCTGTTTTCCGGCCGGTTCTATCAGGCTTTGGAGCGGCTGCAGGTGAAGATTTTTTTGCGTTTGAGCGCGTTCACTTGTGAAACCATAGATACAACCCCGTGGGTAGTCCGCAAACATTAATACGGTTTCAGCTTCCGGTCACTAAAAGAAACGACCAGCCTTACAACGGTGTCTGATGCTGTTGTACAAACAAGTCTTACCTCATTGGGGCAAATCGGTCCTTCCAGGCCACTGCTTGCGGTTGAAATGTCGCGAACTTGCGACGAAAGCTGTTCGCCTTCCTCAATGACTTGCGATTCCGCTACGCTGCCGCGTTCTGTTTCCCGCTCCTTGCTCACGTAGGTCGCGCCGACAGGCGCGTACGCAGTTCTCAGTAGGAGAAAAACTAGCACGAATGACAACATTTTTTCTTTCCCCAGCAACATGCGTGCTACTCTAGCAAAGATTTACTGGTTCTAAAACGAGCGCACGAAAAACTAATTTGCTCAATAAACAAAAAAGAAACACAATCAACCATACGATCGACAGAGGACTTTACTTTGCGATAGTTGCCGAGTCAAGAAGCGATGCTCGATGAAACTAGCGATGGGAAGAGCGATATGCAAAACGATATTCCACGATAACGAGGCTACAGCTGCCGCTGCGTGGGCCGATCATACGGCCATGGGACGAAGAGACGTTCGATTTGAGTTTGTCGATAACAAGAAGTAGAAGGCTTGACGACAACCATCACAAGTCGTAGCACAACACTCGAACACTCTATGTTGACTGAGTGCGCAGTTGTAGTTCATCTACTTACATGCGCACGCACTACAACGGCTGTTCCTGAGCCTGAGTATGTAAACAACATGATCATGTCGTGACACATACTTGTGTGAGTTAGTGCGAGTCGCGTGATAAAAAGAGAGCACAAGCAATGTCGACAGCCCTTCTTCAGAAGAAAGACGTGGCCAGACACATTTCGACCACGATCCCTCTCAGCGGCGGCTTTTGAATTGAATCAGCGGATTTTGCGTCATCCGCGGCCCCGTCGGTTTTGGTGCGGGTGGTCGCTGTGGCACGGGCGGAGCCACCAGCTCCTGCCGTCTTTGCCCGGTGTGTGGGGGCAGCGGTAGTCGTACCTGGGGACGGTACTCCACCCGCCCCATGGCGTCTACCACCCTTAACCGCTTCGCGTTGGGCTCCAAGTGGCTGCCGGTCGTGTGGGGGCGAATCGGCACCGGCTTTACCATCTGCCCGCCCTCGGACAAACCCGAGGACATGCGGGTCACCGTGTTCAGTTCCTTCACTGTTCGGTACGGGTTGTTAGACGCAGTGGTCCCGCCCCTGGTCGGTCCCGTCTGGTGCGCACCGGCCCTGTTCCCCGTGGCCGCCGGGTTCGCGTTTCTGATTGTCGGACGCGCTGGCTGGGCGGCCGGCACGGGGGCGCCGTGCGTGGCGTCGTTGGTCTCCGGGAACGTCGGCATCAGAAAGGCCTTCAGCTTTCTGCCCTCGGTGAGAAAGGGGTGCTGCAAGCACTGTTCCGCGGTCGCCCGCTTGTCCGGCTGCACCTCGCAAATCGCCACGAAAAAATCGATCAAACGGCACAAGTTCGCATGGAAATCTTCTTCCTCGTTGTTTTCGTGGGGAATCAAGCTTTCGTCCGCGTCCTCCGCAGGCTTGAGTTTCCAGGCGTCTTCGTCCTCCTCGTCCTGCGATCCGTCTTTTTTCTCCTCATCGCTGTCAGGGTCCAACGAGGAGCGGGGTGAGTCCGGCGACCGGTTGTTAAAATCTTGGAAAATCGATTTCTCGCTTTTCGCGTCCCGGATCAGCCGCTCCCGCATCGCCTCCGTCACATTTTTCTTTTTCTGCTCCTCCTTCTTTTTCTCGACGTCCGGGTTGAATTTCGGGGGGAAGAGAAACTTCCGCCACCCGACCATTTCCAGCTTCTCAAAAGCGATCGCCGGCGGCCACCGCTCGGACCGTTCTTGGTTGTTCGTTGAGGAAGTAGAGGAAGCGCCGGCGGCCTGCTTGCCGCCCAAGGCGGAGGCAGCGGATTTTTTCGAACTGCATCGCAACTGGTGAAACCTTCGCCACCAGGGATCGACCTGCAAATCGGGCTTCCCCGTGACGCGGAAGATGTTGCGCAATTGCTCACTCTCGCTCTGCGCCTGAAAAATCGGCAAACCCTTTACCAGCTCTCCGACGACGCAGCCCACACTCCACATATCGACGGCGCGCGGATCGTAGACTTTCGCCCCCAAGCAGAGTTCCGGACTGCGGTACCACAAAGTCACCACGGGGGTCGTGTAGCGAATGCTGGTCGTGCTAGCGGAAGTGAAAAGTTTGTTATTTCCTGATTTGTTTGATGTGTTGCCGGCGCTAGTACTTTTGTTTTTCGCTGATTGCGCCTGCTCGCTTGCGTTGTTTTTTCTCCGAAGTTCTTCCAGCATTTGTCTTTGTTCCTTGACTTGGCGTCGCAATTCGTCTCTTTCGACGTCCAGCTCTGACGAGGAATCTTCGCTGTCGTCCTGATCATCCCTATTTCTCCCGGATCTCCGACCATTACTCTGCGCGGGCGGAACTGCGGCAGGTGGAGGTGGAGGAGGATGTGCAATCGGCTCGTCTTCGCCGTTGCGAAAGATTGGATTGCCGAATCGCCTGGCTAACCCGAAGTCGCAGAGCTTCAACACGCCGTTCCGATTCGCGTACAGTAGGTTGCTGCTCTTGATGTCTCGGTGCGTGATGTAGTTCTTATGCAAGTGCGCCACCGCGGAAAGGAGCTGCTCGGTGAGATTCTTGATTTCGTAGTAGGTGAAGCTGTGGATTTTGAGCAGGTTGCAAATCTCGTGGGGCATGTACTCCATAACCAGGCAGAAAGTGCCCGCGAGACTCTCCTCAATCGTGCCGGGCCCACCGCCTGAAACCGATACGACTTCGTACACTTTCACGATGTTCGGGTGCTGCAGCTGCTGTAAAATCGTGATCTCTCGCAACGCCTGCAGCGGAAAACCGGAGGTTTGCGATTTCACACACTTCAACTGCTTCAGTGCGACAATCTCGCGATTTCCGTACAGGCACTGTCCGCGAAAGACAATGCCGTACGTGCCTTCGGATATCTTGTGAATCTTCCGGTAACTCGTATCCAGACTTCGGCAGCCCTGGGCCAGCTGCACTCGTTGTGAGGGTGCGCTCGCGCCCGAAGAGGGCGCGGCGCTCAGTTGCTGCGGTGGAGGAGGGGGCATGGTCGGCGCAAAAAAACGGGGTCGTGGGGTACACGACGAATCTTCGCTAGTGTCGCCGTTTGTGGTCGTGAAACTCGAAAATGAAACTGGAAAAGGAGGAGGTGGAGGACAACATCTTAACTGACTCACATGAAATTAGCGTATTTGATACACGACAGCTAGGCAGCTACTAAGTACTAAGTAGCCGATACTACCACTCGATACAACTACCTAGTTTTTTTTCTAGTACTACGTCTACGCACTAGGGACGTATATAATATCCACCCGCGCAAAGTGGTGTCGTCGTTTCACAGGCTCTAGTCGTAGTCCCTGGACTCCTCGTCGTGCATAAATATTCATACGAGGGTGCGCACGATACACAATCTAGCGCTAGCCACACGTACTAATAGACGCGGCGTGGGATCGTGGTGCAATTCCTTCGCGAATTGGATCTTGGTGAAATGCTAGTACATAGTGGTAATCGTTTTTCATGATCTCGAAATCGAAAATGATTGGTGCAATGATCGTTGCCTAGCAGTATTGAATACCACCAATGATTGTCTTTAGCGATTCTGGTTTAGGCTGATTCTGAATAGACCACGACCAGCTACTTTCGCGTATGAAAAAAGCCATACAAGTACGAGAGATCATGGCACAAAACGAACTTCGGACGATGTTATTTTTCGCTCTTTTTCTTAATTCTGCTGGGTTCGGAGAAATCAAATTTACTTTTCGTCACTGGTGATACTGATACCGGGTCCGGGACTCCTTCAAAACAGAAATCAATAGTTTTCCTTGTCACACTGACACCACGCACACGACGCAGTCAGCGTAGGTCTACTTCAGGCTGCGGCCGCGTAGGTCTACTTCATCTTCAGAACTTCACCGAGCACTACAATTTCGAAGTTGAATGTTTCGCCATCGTCTTGCGCTGAATGTCATGCAGCTGCAGAAACTCGGGCGATTGCGGGTGTGCGAACATTCGATAGTCGATCCCGCCGAATAAAGTGTCCTCTGCCCAGATCGCGTCCCTTTTGTGTTCGTGCAACACGCCTATGAACGGCAGAAGTCGGTATTTCGTGACCGCATCGTTTCCGTAGCCCCCGATCTTTGAAAACGGATCTGCACCCAAGTCTTCCGGCAGCGCGTGGGCGTAGAGTGGGAGCTCCGGGGTCGGATAACCCAGAAGGACTGTGTTTTTATTCTGAAGTGCCGCCGTATTTCCGATCAGCCTCATGTCCTCCGCTCGGGGAGTCAGCAACGCGGCACAGGTAATGGACGAAACCCCGCGTTTTCCGAGAAGTTCGCACAGTAACCGCATGCTCCGCCCGCGACCCACGGAGTCGTCGAGCAGGATCACATCGCGACCAGCTACGTTCGTCTGCAGGTCCATCAGGAACGCGGAATGCGACCCTTCGATTCCCGCGGTGATGGATTGCTTGTTGTAGGTGCTCACGCGGACCCAATCAGGCTCCAGCATTTTTTTCTCCTCGAACAACACAATCCGCAGCACGTCTGCGTGCACGAAGAAGCCGGCGCGGAGGACACACACGAGAACCGGTCTCTTTGCATTCAGCACCGCAATCTCGCCGCTCTTCTTCTTGTCTGCGATTCTTTGCGTCACCTTCGCCGCGAGGCTTCTCGAGGCCGTTTGCAGCTCCGCTTCGGAGAAAATCACTTTCGAGAAGTCTGCTTTGTGGTAGTTGTGGTCAGCGCCTTTTGTATGTGATGTGAGAGCACCGGCGATCTCCTGGTCTTGTTGTGTCGCGATGCTCGTCAGGCACAAGTGCGCTCGCCAGGTCCAATTCAAAATCTCCAGCTCTAACTCTTCGTGCGCCACCGACGGTCGCTGTTTTGGGAGCTTGAAGTGCGGAAAAAGGCAAATGGGCTCCACATCATCGTCGTCGCGTACGAAGGAACTGGCCGAAGATTTTGTCCTGCTTTTCGTACCTTTCGACGAAGCAGCGTCGATACTTGCTGCGGATGTGCTCTCCTGCTTCTCCGCTCCGAAAAGACTGACGAGGCGAATGGTTCGCGCCCCCAATGATTCACGCAGAGAGTGCGCGAGCTCCGTTGGATCAGTGATGTGACCCGGCATGCTGCCTAAAATTACCACCACGTCGCGGTGTCGCCATTTCGCGGGATGCTCTCGTAGATCAATGCTTGCCTTTTCTTGCTCCGCGTTTCTGACTTGCGGCATGACGTCTTGAAGGCTTTCCAGGAAAGAGATGTCGGACTGGACCCCGATCCTCCCGACTTCGCGCATCCATGTTCGACTTGTATACACTTGCACCACCAAGCCAACAACGTGCGACAGCACAGCTTGTGCTTGTGCATCGCCCGGGATATTATGATGATCATCTGCATTTCTACAACTACAACCTCGTTATAAAATATAAACACAAAGATAGAGATTGGCATGTTCGTAAGGTAGCTTCGAGATGAAAAACATCGTGTCGAGAAAAGCCGACAAATTTCTGTTCCCAGTCTGCGCTGCTGGTGTGAGTTGCAAGTGTGGGTTTTATTACTGCATACAAGATCGGCGGCGAAAGCGAAGGCAAACCGGTCATCTCGCAGAACGGGAGCGAAGACCGGTACCGAGCGCCGGTAGTAGAATTTCGACAAGGCAGACGCTGTTTTCGTGATCTTGTGCGCCAGCAATAGCGGATTGCAGCGCAGTGTCTCGCGGAGGTCCGTCGTAAGGATTTCCTTTTTCTCCATCAGGGCCTTGACGCGTGCTTCGTAGACTTTTTCGATGACAGAACCTTCATACCCCCTTATTCGGCCCTCATCGACTGCTTGGGGCAAGAATTTCTTGGATAGCACAGGCGAGCCGTACCGCACTGGGGCTAGAACCGCTGCTGGGGTGAGACCTGGCACGCCCATGGCCTGCTTCGCCTGGACGCAGAGAATGCGCGAGGAAACTTCGTCTTTGACCCGTTTCAAGGCCAGCAGGTCTGCGGCGACGATTTCAAACTCGACGGTTTGTTCTTGGTGAACCAGGTAGCGTGCAATGTCGGCCAGAGTGGCTTTAACTACTTCTTGTGGAACGAGAACAGAGCTGTCGGTGGATGTTGATGAAGCCGTTTCTTTAAGAAGTACAAACGCGGAAACGTACTGCAGCAGGCCCTCGTCTTCCAAAAGTTGTAGCACATTGTAAGGAGTTCTCGGAAGTGCAGCTGCAGCGGCGCTGTTTGCTTCTTCTTGTGAAGATGATGAAGCCTTGTTGAGAGGCAATGCAGAGGACATTAAACCGCGACCTGTAGAAGTGAACATCGCTTTCAGACGTCCGCTACCGCTGACAACCTGCAACTGCGGCGGGTTCGCTGCCTTCTTTTCGTCATCGCCATCCGGATCATCTCGCGCTATGACGATTTTGATTCCCCGCTGCGCGAGCTCGCGGAAAATGGGACCAACGTCTCCAAACACACGGCCGCTATCCCCACAAAACAAGGTATTGCTTCTTCCCGAGAAAACCACGACGGCCGGCGCTCCGGGCGGACGAAATTGCAGCTGCGACACAGACGAAGAAGTACCAGAATGAGCTGCAGGTCGTGGTCCAGACACCATCTTGTGATGCGAAAACAAGTCTAAGCTGCACTTGTATTGGTATGCTTTGTCGAAGAGACGAAACGCACGACAGTGAATGCGGGGGAGATACTTCTTGTTCGTAGGAAAGACACCTGAAGGAGAAAACACTCACAATCCCCAAGACTGCAAAACCATAACCCGCACCTGTGACGATTCACACCAACTGCTATAATCACACCCCACTCAGCTGGTTTGCGCATCTCTCATCTGGCACGCTCACGCAATAAGAAAACGGTTTGAGGAAACACAATGGGCCGACCTTTTGCGTTTGCTATACCTATACGTTCGGTATGTTGCCATACGTTCAGCACATTACGTAGTTCATGAAGAACCCGAGAATTTTCTCTAGTACTGTTGCAAACGTTCTCGACTTGGACTTGTCTTCGCGTAGGAATCCGACGGCGGGAACCTCATCCATTTCCATGAGCAATCATTGCCTTTGCGATATATCACAAGTCACGTGTCTTGAGTAAGTAGTTTTTCTTTTTACCATACAGCCTCACACAGAATTTCCCCCTGGTCTTTCGGCGGAGAGGGCTGATGGCCTCGAGCCGAGACCAGGTTGCGGTGCGCCCGCGGGTGCTCCCCCTGCGTCGTCGTTGAATCTGGCGTGGCCCTGGCCGTCGCGGTTGCCCCCGGGACAGCAGCCCGGACATGTTGATTGTTGAATCTGCATGAGCCCCAGCCCGCAAAAGAGGATCCCGAGGAGAATGTACATGACACTCCAGAAGGTACTCGCGTACTCCAAATCGACACAGAATATCATCGTGCCGACCCAGAGAATGAAACCGCCCTTGCCGCAGCCGGAGCCGAGAAATGCGGCCTTCTCGTACAATCTTCGCTGCATACCTCCGCACCATCCCTCCTTGCCCTCCAGGATAATGATGATGATCGCGAAAATGAAGTTGTACAGGTTTATCAGCAGCCTGATTGCGATTGGATGATTTTGTTTTTCAGTATAGAATACGGACAGACTGTCAACATTTTCAGGAGTTCCAAGAAAAGAAAAAGCTGAAAAGAAAGAACCCAACATGGCGAAAAAGTGTGAGCGGCCGTACTAGCATGATTAGCAAACAACAAAAATTCAGAAATAATACTGTCCTGGCTTGAAGACTGCGAAGACACTGATGAAACCTATGAAGGAAAACAGTGCGAGAAGCGTGGCTCCCACCAGCAGGGCTACGCGCAGGCTTGTTGGATTTTCTTCCACATATAGTTTCAACTCGATTATGCCGCTTTTTGCCTTTTGTGCCGCGCCCTGGGCTGCGTTCGCGGCGTAATCTGTGTTGCATAGTTTCAGAGTGTCTAGTTGTTCATTAATTTTGGAATGATTATTGCCAGCGAGCGGTGGCCACAGTTTCAAACACTTTTGGTAGGAGAAGTACACATTCCAATCATGCGTCGAAAAAAAAGAACGTAAGTACTTCGCCCGACGCGCTGCGCATATGGATTCGTTGCGAGGTTTTGAGCAGCCGATCCAGACATCGTCCTGTTACAAAAACCTCTTCAGTATGTTGAGTGTCGTGACGCAGGTAGAAGTGCTGCAATCTTCCCAGCAGCAACCACGTTGCACTACCAGCCTTCCGTGTCCGTGACCAGGCTCCGCATCGCAATTGATTCGCAGACACAGCAAAGGAGGGTGTGCTCAAACTCGACGCGAGCTGTCGACGAGCGGAAGAAAAACCAAACGACAATGAGTCTATGCTTCAATCTTGCCTTTCCTGAGCTGTACTCAAAGTTTGTGCAACGACAACCAGTAGGAAAACGAACAGGAGTGTGCAAGAAACAAATGGTGTGTGTAAAAAAATTTAGCTTTGAGTTTGATTTTGAAATGGCAGGAACGTAAAAGAAAACTAGTGAGAATCGATACAAATACACAAAATTAAGCGGGATATTTCGTGTGAAGCAACGGGGGGACTGGCTTGACTTTGAAGAAATAAAAGACCAATAGCTAATTTCATCCTTTACACGACACATTGCATCGACCGACCTGATTCGCCTGTCTGTGAGATGACGGCATGATGTCATCAAAATCTCACGAATCTTCGTTGCATGCTCAAATGCTTCAATTTCGAAAATCGTTGCAGCCTTTTTACGCCACACTGCACTTGGGATACAAGTTCAAGTTTTGGTCCTGTTCCTGTCTCAACTTTACCATCGTAAACAGCTCTACTTTAGTGGGAAAAGAAAATGGGTCTCGTCGGCACCGCTCCGGGTCCCAGTCGCTTGAAACTGAACCACATAAAGAATCCTGAACGCGTAATCCTGAACGCGTCCTGCATCTATCCTCACGCTTCGTTGTCGGCAGCCTGCTGCCACGCGGGCTGGGCGTTCGCGACAGACTCGGCTACCTTGTAGTACCGCTGTGCCTGGCTCTTTTTCGCGTTCGCCTCGGCCAAAGTGCGGTGCGCCCACACCATCGCGCCTTCCGGATTCGGAACTTCCCGCTTGCTGGCCCGCTCCGCCTCGAAGCGTGCCTTGCGCAGCAATTTTTTCGCGTCGGTCATCTGCTGCACCGCCATGCCGGAGTACGTACTTGCCACCTCGCTGGCCCGGTCGGCCATCCCCTGCAGGTACTTTGCGTAGTCTGACTTCGAGGTCTGCGGCGGCCCCGCGCTCTTCTTCGCCAGCTCCTGCTTCTCCGCGAGCGCGCTCTCCTGCTCCTTGTACCAGGCCTCGCCCGCAGCGCGAATCGCTTTCACCGCACCCTCTGCTTTAGCCTTGGCCTTTGCCGCCCTGACAGGTGATTGGTTTGACTACAGATCCCGCTTTCAGTCTCGATCTCGAGCCCGATTAACAACGAAGAACAACTTCTCTGTTTCAAGAAAAAAACGAAGACAACGCACAGAAGCGACATCAATATCATTTCAGTCAGAAAGAAATACGCCTCTTCCTTGCTGGACTCTGCGACTTTTTTCGCGTCCAGCACGAGCGCTTTCGCCTTCGCTTCACTCGCCTCGGCAGCCGCAACCAGCGGGGCGAGAGCATCGGACACTGCTTGCTGCTTCCCGACGGAAGCTTTTGCAGTGTCGACGCTCTTCTGCATGATTTGCAGCGCAGTGTTAACTTTCGCTAGTGTGGAGTCGTGCCAAGCAGCAGCGCGCTCTTCATCATTGAGAAGATGTGACGGGTCGTGCATGTAGTCCGTGTCAATCGAGGACGTTATCGCGCGCGAGACAACTCCTGGAAGGGTGCAGGCAAAAAAGGCAGCCCACGCCCTCGGAACCCGAATCGATGCTGCCATCCCGCCCTGCACTCTTGCTTGGAGTTCTCCGTGGACTGCGCTTTGCTGTTGAGGCCATCTTTTGCGTTTGACCTTCATGGTCTTTTCGCAGCCTCTCCCCCTTCTATGTTTGTGTTCATTACGCTCGACGGTGTTGCCATGCGTCATTCCACTGCAGAACCACTCTCTACTCTCTTTTGTCTCTTGCTTTCGTCCGCAAGACTGAGACAGAACACTTCAAATAAGCAACTGCATTCTTCCAAGCCCGCCGAGAGAGCGAGCGGATGCCACGACATCCCCTTTATTGGTTTCGTCATTCATTGTCTTGTGCGCTCGAGCAGTTTGATACATGACAACTACGTGGCGTCCACGTTTTATCGCGATGACATTCTTGTTGTGGCCGTGACATCGAAACTGTGTACTACCTTTAACTTGTTGAACGTGACAAAAATAAATGTTTGTTTTGGAAGATCTTCATTTTCCTCATTTGTACATTTATGTGACTTATGGGTTTCAGAGTTTCCAGCAAAATTCAAAGTTCTAGTCCGCATCTTCTGCTTCACTAATTCTTTTTTTCTTCTTCAGGTGTAGGTAAAGTCTTCAATTAGAATTTCTGGTGTCATTTTTTAGCGGTAGTGTACGTAGTAGACAAAAACTCTTTTCTCGTCGGAAGATCGATTTCTTAATCGAAGAAAACGGCACAACTCCGACCGTAGACGTAGTTTAAAGCAGGCCCTCCCATTTTGCACGCCAGAAGCCGCGAAGATCAACTCTTGCTACACCATTGTAGTTCGCAAGTTTTGCTCCGAAAGCACTCGCGGCATCTCGGATTTGACGTCAAACTTCTGTGCGGACCAGCGATTTTCGGTGTGACTTGGGAGCCAGCTGGATATCCCACCGGGGTAGCGGACGGGTAGCATGTTGCACCCGTACTTGTTCAACTTCCAATTCGTGCCCACAGGAAAGCGACCCGGCGCACTGTGTCGAGGTTATTTTTTATCTAGAGGGTGAAACGAGAACAACAACCGGACAGAACGAACGATCCGCGTGTGAAATGAAAGTGAAACGGAACGGAAGTACTTGAAAACAAAACCATATCATGTTTTTCTTTTTCAGGTGTGCCAACTCAGGGTCGGTAGTCGTACCACTACATGCACAAGAAGAAAGTTGCATTATATGTCAGACAGGAACAAGTAGCGCAATACAGTCTGCTGTCGTTGACTCGGTACACCACCGGCGGTGCCCGCGAGGAGAAATTGATCACTTTGTTCTTATTGCTGGTGGGCATGTGTCGGCGCTGTGCGTCCTCCGCAAAACACTCTTGTCTAGAGTGGAAGTGGTCGGCGTCCCTGGAGTGGCGGAACCCGAATCTCTGCCCCGGGCCTGTCCAGGTAGCGAGAAAATCCGGCCCCGATTTGGTGGGCAGCGAGTGTCTGCTTGCAGTGGGGCCGTGCGAACCGCAATCGGACTCGGACATCCACGCCCGATTTCCGAAGGTGTTGTTCCGCTCTTCCAGGACCCTGGACACGGAGTGGTCAATCTCGCGGGAGTCGTACGGAAGTTTGCTGCGTATCGTCGATCTTAAACTGCCCATACTGTCGCTCTTCATGGTGCTGGAAAAACTCGTCTCCGGTTGGGGAAGAAACTCGTCCTGCGGCCGGTACGGCTGCTTCCCCGCCGGCGCCGCGTGGTCGGCATACATAATGTTGAGTCCTCTTTTGTTTCTTAGCAGTGGCACTACTAAAACGGGCGACGCAGTAACTGTAAATGTTTTCTCTCTTGACTTTGACAGGTCTGCTCCAGGCACGTTTTACATACAGCATTTCTTTGCTGAAGCCACGGCTCCGAATAACACCAAAAGCAAAAAACTAAGAATAAGTACAAACAGAAACACGTGGCTACCCATGTTGACGATTGTAAACCGAAGGTGGACCCATCAAAAACACGGACGCCCCTTCTATACTCTTGGCTGGAGTCTGTCAGGGGCATCTGAGCAGCCAGAACCGATCATAATATCCACGATCACGACCCGCTAACCAATGTGTTCGACACGGACGATCATCGCTTGCCGAAGCAGAAAAGAGCAGCACATCAAAAACGAGATCGCGAAATGCTAACCGATAAAGATAATGCAGGAGCACTAACCGATGACTGGTTTGTGGTTTCTGCTGCAAGAACTTCAACAAAAAAACAATCCGCGAAGCAAGAGCGTTGACAAGGAGTATCTGAGCCCCAAACTTCATCAATTTCTCTTAAGAGGGAAGCACAAGTCTGAAGCACTTATATTTTTTCAATTTCAGCAGGCGACGGCAACCACTTCACCAATAATCTGTTCTTGAAAATCATGTGCTTCGTGTTTACTACAGAAGACCTTTCGGCTACTAAAGTGTGAGCAGAGCCGGAAGTTGACTGCTGTTCATCAGCATCGACGACCACATCACGCCACCAGCTTTACACGCCTCACCAAGACCCCTCGTTGGATCTTGTCGAGCGTATGGCCCATGTAGGGGGCCCGCCCGTTCGGGAATTCCGCACAGTATTTGTAAATCCACGAGGGATTTTTCGAGCTTCAGCTGGTAGGATTTTTCGAGGCCAAGTCGTTACCGTCGTGTTTATCACAGGGACCAAGAGAGCATGGGGTGGCAATAAATAAGACATCTCTAGGTCCTTAGTATCATACATCTTAACTCACATAATAAGTTGGTGAATTTCTCCTGATTAGCTTCGAAACCAGCAAAATTGTTGGTCTATATCAAAAGCTGCACATCAAAAAAGCATCAATATCTACAGTGGAAGGAGTGGCTAGATGCAACGGCATTATTCAAACAAAATTATACATTCAAAACACAAAAAAAATCTGGTGAAACCCTGTTTGTTTGTACGAACTACAAACCTTTACCTTATGCTCCACGTTTCTCGCTGATCTGGTTGACGAAAAAAGCTGTTAAAATACTGAAAAAGTGTTCGCGATCTGTTGCTCGAGCCTCACGGAACTGGAACAACTCGCATTGTATTTTTACAAGCATATCTTGTCCGGAAAAGAAGACTTTATCGTACCTTGATCTTTATCCTGCGATCTTCCGTAGGTATACAATTAGATAAAAATTTTCAGTTTGCAGCTCGTGTTTGCGTTTCAAAGAAGTTCGAGGCTTTAGCTCAACAAGCTCGTCTTTGCGACTAGATATTCTTTTCGATCCAAATTCAGAACAAATCCTCTTTCGCACAGCAGTTACTAACTGATTCTCACCCACTGACAGGCATCGTTTCCGTCCGAGCAGGACCAGCTGGCACAACAAGTCACTGCTGGGCAATTACACTTTACTTAGGCTGCAGAGACTAGCTACATGAGCGATTGATTTTTATTTCTGGCAGTCTCGGTTTTCGAAGCTCACGGACTTTCCCTAGTGTCGGTTTCAAATCGTACAGAATGGTAGAAAGAAAAATCTGTTGACGCTGATAAATTTGTTCGCTTTGCAGGGTTGCTCAGGGTCAATGAAGCAAAGCTCATACGCAGAGAAAATCTCTGTCAGCTTTAGTCACTGATAGTCCCACGTCGCTCGTCAACGTCGGGAAGCAGCATGGGCTCAAGGAGGGGCTTGAAAGCGGCGATGATCCTTGGGTCGGTTCTGGCGTTAAAGGACCATATGCAGGAATAAAGAGTGGATGACGACAGGGATACACGATATGACGAAAAATTTCCGCACCAGTGCGACACATATTGTTGGATCAGACTAAATGTTCAGGCCCAGGCCCGCGGCCGGGTCGCATTTTCACAAAACAACAACAGTACTCGCAGGGTGTTCAGATGAAATGCGACTATCAATACCCAGTATCTGAGTCACAATATACATCAACGATGCGCACGTCTACACGAAGCGCTCACAAGGCTTGCCTAATCGTCATCCTACTCCTAGTTCATTTCCGTAATCTTCTGCGAATATCTGTAACTGATGCCCTCTTGACCGCGAAATGACGAGCAAAACCGGAGAGGATTAGCGCCTTTGTCCGTCACTGCGTGAAGGCGCGTCCGGATCCAGTTCCAGCGGAAATGCAGGTACGACCATGCAGCGCCCTTCCCGGTTGAGTGCTTGCGCCAAAATGTAGCGCGTTTGCGAAAATCTATCTGAAAGTAATGGTGCCACATCGGATGTAGGCAAGATTTAGGCTCCTTTCCAAAGCGGTAGGGGTAGTTTTTACGCCCTAGCTGACCCTCTGGCCACGCACTCGGCATTTGATCGACATTTGCATCGGTGTTCAAGCAATAACCTGTTTGTGAACAATTCTAATGCATTTGGAGGAATGCAATCTTCTTTCAGATGAAAATAGTACCCGCATCAATCCAAGGAAAACAAAACACACGATGAGAAGGATAACGGACGAGGCCGCCATTCATCTGGCGATGAAATCTATTTTCTAGAACTTCTAGCTACTGTAGCGAAATACTCCCGAGTAACAACAGAAAACTCATCGTGTCATGGTCAAATGGGTACCGTATGGCGCTAAAAATCCGCCGGCCCCAAACTCGAAGATTTGCTCCTGTGCTTGAAACAGGTACTGCGTGACCATACCTAAGCGGCATCGCTCCTCCCGAAGAGCACGATGCCGCAGTGACAGCGATTCGACCCCGTCGGCAGACGGTAAAGGCCCACTCGTTGGCACTGAGCGATCAACGGGATCGTCCCATACAACAAGGCTTGATCCGGTGCCTTTCGTGTCCGCATCCCCAGGCCGCTTCCGCCGTTCATGAAACTTTTATGAAAGGGAAATCCCGTCAGCGACTGTCGTTTTCTCATGCGCAACAACATCATCCCGATGTTGAAAGTTTCACATTTTAAAGACAAGAGGTCATGTGCAACGATTCGAAGCCATGGGTACGCGCAATTTCACTGTCTCGGTCCGTCGAATCACTGCCTGAGGACAAATAAAATACTTCATACTATAAACACCAGTCGACATATTGTCGTACGCTAGACAGCTTTTTGTGATTGTGGTACACATTTACTCAGTGTCCATCTTGAAACTCGGCCTCATCATTAAGTCTGAAAAGGCGAGCGCAGCAGTGGCGCCAAGGATTTCAAATCGATAAGAAGTCCCAGACCTCCGCGAAAAAACGTGTATCATCTGCCACACATCCACCGCTCAGGCGCCTTTCGCTGTACAAGTTCGCTTCTACAACCGGCCAACGGAAGCTCAACACCTTTAAGGCTCTGAGTGGAGCATTGAGGCTGCAAAATGGCATCAAAGCCATAATTGTTCGCACCTGTAGATGTGAGTGTACAAACAGTTGCTCATGTTCTTGGTGTCGATACTTAGTGATAGTCGACAAGCTCTCATACTGTAATTAAAGCAGGTCCGTCACTCGTCAACAACATCTGTGCAGCCTCAGCCACTTTCATCTATTTCTATTTCTATGTATAGTATTCCTAACATGCCAGCCCTTGGGAGATTTCAGAGATAAACGCAGTAAAGTAACTTTTACCGCCCATGTGTCGGGATCGAAAACCTGTCCGGATTCCGGATGTGACATTCCTCCTTCTATTGCGCTTTGATTCGCTTCCTCCAGATGGTCTCGCCCAAAGTCGATTTCCGCGCTCCAGTAATCGCGTGGCCTTTTATCGCGGACCTTTTCTTTTAGAAACCGCAAAAACAAATTTTCACAGCTGAGGCCCTGCTCTTGTCGAGTTTCGAGCGGAGCAGCAGGTGCCTCAAACGGCTCTGTGCTGCCCCCTCCTTCCTCATTCAGTCTTGGCTGCGTGCTCTGCGATGATGGTGTTCTGATGGCCGGAGGAGGGACGTATCGCGCAGTGCTGCTGGACGAACCGCCCCCACTAGCGCTACCAACCCTTGCAATGGTGTACGCATCTTGTTCGGCTTCCGCTAGAAGAGATGCACTGTCTGGAACTTCTACAGGCGGCAGATCGTCAAGGAAGTCATTTTCCGGCAAGGGGGGCTCCGGCTCGTCTCTGTCATGTATTCCTGCCTCTGGCTCATTCTCTCCTTCCCCGTCCTCAGGTTCACTTGGGCACACACTGCTCGCAGCTGAGCTGTGGCTATGCCGTCTGCTCGAATCGCTTCGACTATCCGAATCAGAGACGCCTTCTCTCCCATCGCAGTCGGATTGGTTGCCAGAGTAGCGGTCCTGCTCGTCGTCTCGTCCTCTCTCCGCAGCCGCAGCTGATGAAACCTGTGATCGCAAGCTCCTCTGGACACTCATTGCATCAGTATCCACTTCTCGCTCATCACCAGCACCACGCGCGGGGGCGCTTATAGCGTCGGTGACCCTAGCTCCTTCAGTTGCACCATCTGTGCCGGTGTTTCTACTTTGAGCCGTAGCGGCGGTGCCCGAACTACCGACCTGTTCTTGCGGTCGCGCATCGACTAGTCCGGCGCCTTGATTTTCGTTTGCGACCGAGGACGCACGGGCGTCCGAACCCTGTTGCGCGATGTCTCCTGTAGTCCTCGTCCTTTCTCCTCGTTCGGCTCCTCGCATCGTGCCTCCATTCGCGACAAGGGAACCGGAATCCGCATGGCCGACTCCTCGTTCCACCGATCTGCCCTCCTGGTTGCCGCCAGCACGACCCCTTCCTGCCGTTTCATTGTCGGTCTCTGCCGCGCCGTAGTCTACCGTCGAGGCAGCACTACCTGTTGGCACCGCTCCCGCCGCTCCTCCATTGCCAGCAGTTGCACTTACTTCGACGCTGGTCATATTGCCGGATGGCGCTTCGCTCCCAGCCCCACCTCCTGATATGGGTGGCGATTCACCGCCAACGTCGTCTCGTTCTTCTCCATAAGAAGATCCTGCGCCAGCTTCTGCACCGCTCCCCGGACGCGCTGCCCCCTCCATTTGTGACGCATCTGAAATACTTCCAGTTTGATTATTGCCGCCTGATGTCCGTTGCGATTGCTGCTCCTGTGCACCAGAATTGCCAGTCGCAGCACCAGCAGCGACTATAGCTGGGTCGCCACCTGCATGTAATGTTCCGTCTATTGCGGTGCCTGCTTCATCGGTTCCAGGACTTTGCCCATGCGTACTGAAACTACTTCCTGGTTCTTGCGGAGGGTGATTTTCAATGTCAGCTCTTCGTGCAGGGTTTCCAGCTGTGCCGTTTGTCGTTTCTCCAGATGTTGTTCCACTTTCACTGTTTCCAGGAGGAGACACCGACGTAGGAGAAGGAGAAGCTGTTGCCGGGTCAGGTCCCGGTAGGTCATTTTGGAACCGCTCATGACCTGGAGACGTTGTCGTCGAAGTTGCTAGATACGGTTGATGCGTAGGAGAAGTCGCCGCTTGCGTTGTGACTCCTGTCTGCGCTAGCTGGCCACCACTTCCCGCCACGACTGCAGGCGAAACCGGCGTGGCAGCAGGAGATATTGAAGCTCCTTGAGCAGATGGAGTAGCAGCGGCCGCAGGCACAATCACTGGCACCGTACCAGCATTCGCTGCCGGCTTTGATTTCGCCGGCGCCAGAAACTCCGCTCCGGAAACAGGCCCCGGGGGGAAGAGGCTCAACAAGCCCGATGAAGGACTCGCAGGAGGGGTCGGTTGCTGCAAAGGAGCGGTTGTTCCGGCATTCCCGCTCTGACCATCATTTCCTAGACCTGTTGGTGGGCCGCTCGGGTTCCCTCCAGGTGAAGTGCCACCACCCCCGCCACCGCCTCCATCCCCGTTGAAGATTCTCGTCGGGACTAAAATCTTTGGTTTATGCCAGCCGCCGAAGCCGCCAAACAGGTAAGCATCACCGTCTCCTGAAGATCCCAGCTCTGCTTTCTGTTTGTTCCCCTCGCTCACGTTGCCCATATGGACTGCCAAGCCAGTAGCGCCCGCGAGAAGACAAACAGCGATGATGGTGATGATGATGGTGGAGAGCGAAGAGGCCAGGAAAGCGGCGCAAGGAGACGCTGCGGAAGATGTCGATGACGAAGAGGGATCTTCTGTCATGGAATGAAATTTGTCTTCTTGCGACGGTTCCTCATTATCGTCACGTGCAAAACTTGGCGTCGTGTCTCGCTCCCCGGTGTCGATGGTTTGTGTTGCAGAAGTTAGCGATGCTGTTTTGTTGTTTTCCAAAGCAAAATCTTCGGAAGCGACGCCTTGCGCCTGCTGCTGCTGCTGCTGCGACATCAATGCCGCACCTTTCTCAGCATTTTCATCCAACTCATGCTCTTCCTCCGAGGACGATGCCAGCTCTGGCTCGTGTTCTTCTGCTACTTCATTTGCGAAATCTCGGATATTTTTGTCGCTTCTCATTTTCTTTTCTTCACCACCCGACTCCAGCACCTCCTTCTCGATTTGGCCCGTAGCGCCGCCGCCATCATCCAGGTTTCCAGGTCCGTCCTGTCGTCGTGCCAATAGCTCCGCTTGCTCCGCACCCGTAGCACCGAAAGAAGTCGAGTTGCAGGAGTAGTTCATCTCTTGTTTCGCCAGCAACGGTAACGACGTTTGCTCGATAAATTCCTCTTCGTAAATGTCTGACAGCCGATGGCCCTCCCATTTCGTCGCTTTTCCCTTCATGTCTTCTTCATTGACAAGGTTTTTCGGCATTTTCAGCAGCTTTTGATTCTTTCTCTTGATGGTCGCTTGGCATGGCTGAACATTCGCATCGTACTGCTCATCTCCCATTTCCAAATACTTCAGCACCGTCTGTGCGTCCCACCGCCTTTCCCAACGCCACCGCAGCGTGACCTGTAGCAGAGACACCAGATGGCCGAATAACGCCGCGTCTTGCTGCTCCCACCGCCGAGATTTCGAGTACAGAATCCGGACCCGGGAATCCGCCACGGCGAACTGCGCCCGCATCCCGCACCCCTCTAAATGCTCGTACGGCGCCCGACCGTACAATAATTGGTAGAGGATGATCCCCAAAGCCCAAACGTCAGCGGCTGGCCGCATTTTCAAACTCGCCGATCCCTCATCCGGCTGGTAGAACGCCTCAGGTGGCATGTAGCGCGGCGTGCCGCACTGGCGATCGCGGGAGACATGGGTGATTCCCTCGTCTTTATTGATCCCTCTCGCGAGGCCGAAATCAGAGACCTTCACGATGTTGTCCACGATGAGGAAATTCGCGGGTTTGAGATCAAAGTGGATCAACCCGAGACTGTGGATGGCCGCGACGCCCGCGACCATGTCGCGCCAGAGGTTGCGGATGTCGTAAATCGAGAAGATTTCGTAGTTTTTCCTGAGGAAGGAATGAAGGTTGGGTATGGGAGGGGAAAGAAGGTGCTTCAGTTGCTGAACCAGTTCTAGTTGCAGTGCAGATGCGGTACAAAAATTGACATATTGAAAATCACATCCAGTTGCGCCTGCGGGTTCACTCGCATGAGAAATTAGGAGTAAACTTCCCCCACTGCTGCATCTTGTCCATGTTTCATTCCGCATCACAAAAATATATTATGACTCAAACCAACACAAACGCTTCCCTCCCATACCACAGTCCGCGAATTCTAGCAAAATATGGATCACCAGGTCCTTCGGAAAAAATTTCGCTTCGCCGATCATCTTCACTACCCGCAGCTCGTCCGCGTTGTGGCCAGCATTGCCCTTCCCCCCTGCGCTCGCACGATTTTTGTCCCGCAAAGCCCGCAGCCAGTTTACCTCCATGGCAAACGAACGCATTTGCCGCGCGTCCCGTGCGTAGACGACCTTCAATGCGTATCGTGTGGCGGATAGCTGAGAAGCTTTCGTCTCCCTGTCGCGACCGTTGCCGCTGCTTCCAATGCCACCACTTTGCGACGCGTCACGATTGCAGCTGTAGTTGCTCCGACTGCCCGAGGCTGTAGTAGTTGAGCCTCCGTCTACCACACAAGTTCGCAAATCCACGCACTCAAACACTTCCGCGGATCCGCCCTTGCCGATCCGCTTCACAACTTCGAGCAATAAAGTCGGCTTGTTGAAGTCCACGCGATGGCTGTCAGCCACCTCTTCGCCCATGCAGATGACCATGCCTGGGCCAACGCGGGCGGTGGCGGTCACGTTGATGTTTTTGCGCTGAATGAAGGCAAACGTGGAGAGTAGCGAATCGTTTTCTTGGTACGAAGTCCGGCAGTCCTCGTCGTTGAAATACTCGGGCAGGTCGCTTGGGGAGTTGAGAAAAGGGGCGCTGTGGCGCCCGTAGACGGGGATGCTGGCCACGGAGGTGGAAAGTAGAGGCTCCGGAGATGAAAGATTCGCCACTTTATTTATTCCAGGACACACATCAGGGAGATTGTCGCTGGGTCCACAATCATGATCCCGGGGGTCGTTGCCCATGTGGAGCTTGCCATTAGGCGAGGGAGAAGCGTCAATCTTTTCTGCGCGCCGGGGTGCAATCGGTGTGGAGTCCGGAACGACAGGGGCGCAGAGGGTTTCGGCCTTGTCGCTGCACCTCAATCCAGAGCTAGTAGTGTCGCGGGGATTTTTCCTTTCTATTTGAAGACCATCCTGACCATGCCCTTCTTTCTGGTGTCCGTCTTGAGCAACGGGCCCTTGGGCTTCTTGCTGATTCTGGTGGAGCATTGGCCTCGCACCTCGCTGTTCTCGGTTGTATTCAGGGTCCTCAATCGTGAAACCCACTTCCTGCTTGCGGTCGCCGTTTGATGTATCCACAACAGCCACCTTTGGCAGGTCCGCCTGGTAGACAAAGTCTTGGACTCCTTGACGCTGGTCGTTCTCGACAGCATTTCGCTGATATCGTTCTTGCGGTGCCGGCGCTCCCGCTGTGCCATTTTCGCAGTCGGCATTGCTGTCGAAACTGGTTTCTCTGTTTTCCAGCCGCCCTCTGGCGGTGTGTGAGTAGTTGTTGCGCTTCTTGTCACTATACGCATCAGTGAGGCCTGCATGGTCAACATTTCTCACCCTCGGAGCCGAGGAATAACAGCTCTCGGCTTCTCTGTTCGGATTGTAGCCCGTCGACGAAAAGTCGTCTCGTGTCGACGGCCGGATAGCAACATGGCCGCGGCCGGGCCGCGCAGCGGCAGCTGCGTTCCTGCTTATCACATCGTCTTCAATCGTACTCGTCGCCGCCGGCCTCCTGGCGTCGTTTTGCTCCTGATAGTAGGAGCTTCCATGATTGCCGGCGGACGAAGTGGTGTTCACTTCTACGCCGTCGTAGGAGAAGGTCGCGCTTCGCTCACGACCGCGAGGGTCGTGTGGACCAACATCTCCCCTCTCTAGCAGATCGTCCTGCTCCTCCCGTGCAGCTTGGCACTCGTAAGCAGCCTGTTTGTCTCGAACGCCTTCTCCTTGTTGCCCCGCGCCCGCTCCTGCATGTGCATTTGCGGTCTGTGCAGCAAAAACTTTCTCCCCGAAGTCGAATGTGGTCACAGTATGCAACGCCGACGTTGCTTGTGTGGGAACTGGGGCGACGGGTAAAGGGTAGCTTGGGACATCGTGCTCTTCTTGGACGAAGCGCGCATTGTTCTTTTCGAAGCGAATAATGTTGCCCGGCTCTGCTAAGTCGCGGCCTGCAGTAGTAGTAGATCCACCCTGATCTGGATGGTCGCGAGGGTGAAAATTACGTCGGCCAGATGGAATCACGGGTCGTGGGGGATTGTCTTTGTGCTGGTCGTCGGGCATAGGGTAAATTATCTCCAGGTCGTCGCACCACAGAAGGAGCAGTCACTGGCTCGTAGGTAATAATAAAGGGGTGATACCGCTCTGCCTGTCGATATAGTAGTTGTCGCGCCGATATTTTTATGACGGCCTCAGAAATTAAATTTTAAAATCAGACCATAGCTAGTTTTGTGCACCGTTTAGTTAAGGTTTTGCATTTAAAAAGGTGATGTTTAAACTAGCTAGTTCACGGAGGTTCAGCTGCCTTGCGGATGCGTGTCGCAATGGCGGGCGGAGTCACTGACGAACCAGCACCGGAGGCCATTATTTTGATGCGAAACAGCTCGAAGTAGACACGAATAGCAACACAAAAGAACTAGTCGGTTAGTTTGTATGGCCCAAAGGGTTAAAAGCTTCCACTTCCTGCTATTGATTCGGTTGGAGGAGAGAATTTGAGTCATCATTATCATCAGCATTGTCGGGTGAGTATGGTCATACGTATCGTGTTTGTGTATCGGGTAGCGCAAACGAGATTGATTTTTGATCATTTCTAACAGGGCTGGAGTGGATTTGTAGTTGATATCTTACAGAAGAACCCCCCGAAATTTCGAACGACCCTCAGGAAGGAGGAAAGTGCTTGCGCTGCTCTTTTGTGGTGTGATTCGTGCAGAAGTTTTCTAACAAAGCGCCGTCGTACTCTCACAGCGACAATGGGAACACAACCGAGACAGAGTATCAATGCTCATCTCCAAGTCAACTGTCACTGATATGGCATAACAGCGTGGACCTTTTTGATCTTGTAATACAACTGCCACATCATTAGCCGAAGCATGGCAGTGCTACTAGTCTGCATGTGAATGCGCAAGGATTACAGTGCGTTGGCTTTGGATTTTGGTTTCATACAAAGGGAGAAGGAGCTGCTAGCCGAGCTGCAGGACATTATGGACCCACTCACTCAGGTGCATCCTGATTGTACTGAAGTCACTGCCGACATGTTTGTGAAACCGAGGGCGCTGATGCCGGAAGGAGATTTGGTCGACGAACGGCAGTGGCTTTGGATGGCCTTGCAGATCAAGACGTGCTTGATTTGGAGCAGTGAGTGGGTCTGCCGCCTGCGGTACACGCTGAATACCCACAAAACCCGGCTGCGTGGCCACGTCTTAGTGGGTTACTGCCACTCCCAGCCGAACAAAATTTTCGTCGAGGTGGTCCACCGGGCGAAGAATTACGTCCAGTTCGACATCAAAAAACGACTCCATTCCAAGGACGAGCTCCCTGGTCTTCTGTGCGCGCTTTATCATGGTGAAAGCCTCACGCTGTTCACGGACCCCATTACTTGCGCGTACAGTCCCGAAACCTGGGTGGAACAGGAAGCGCGGCGCATCTTCGTCAAGAATATCGAGGACACCCAGACGCTGCGGTACGTGGCTGCAGAGCGGGAGTTCAGCACGGTGGACGGTTACCTGATCAGCAATGTCGACGGCGTGCGGAAGGTGATGAGAATCCAGGAGAAGGTGATGACAGTCCGGAAGGAACGTGGAAAATTCATGGGGCTGCGGGCGCCGATGCGACGGCACAATCATACCACACAACAGACTGCAGCTGTGTTTTTCTGTGGCAGGTTGTAGAAGTTGTAGTCGCGACCACGTGAGGCCGCGCATCTGCCTATCACATCCTTGTCATCATCACAGGTCGTCCGGAAACCCCTACAACATCAACGACTTTGACATGTTGTTGCTGCATGTTCGCTCCGATCCTCACGGGACTGGAAGCTGTGAATCCCTCCACGGTAGTGCCTTGATTCCGATGAGGACACTGGTGGAAGCTGGGTGCGTCACCTCCGGGTAAGCATTATGTTTTCATCTATGATGCGCGCACTACTACAGACGTTTATTACTAGGATGCATGTGGAAAGAATCAAAACAACCCTCAGGAGACAGTGAATCTTAGTTGAAACGCTACTTGCATGGGTCTACTTTTGGGGACCTGACTGGAAGCCACTTCTTAATAGCGTTTTTTTATGTATGGCGGCTTGTTTTCGGTACGTAGCCTACTACGATACTTCCTGCTACACCTCCAAGGGCTCCGGAGTCTGACCGATAAATCAACAGTAAAATACTACACAGCGACACGGTGGGGAAGACGATTTTGAGTATGTTTCCTGTAGCGCCTGGAGTACCGAAGCCGCGGATCGACGGGGTATTCGAGCAGTACTACGCGCCTTGCTCTTGTAAGGTCGCGTTTGGAAACCGATTGAACGACATCACTCAGGCAGCCGAGTAGACCAGTGGTAGGAAAAACATGGACGACAGTATGCGCGAGTACGAAAATCAGAGATCAAAACACGAACCACAACCGACATATCCTGCGGAATATCTTTAGAACTCGAACCACGCCACAGCTTTGCAATTCCATGCGCTGCAGACAACAGCTCGACGGCACAAGATTATTGGATTTGCAGTGCAAATATTAGTGGTTCGTTTACAAGGTGGGAAATTGGAGTTCAATGTTGAATCTGTAAAATTTAATGTAAGAATTTGAGGAGAAGAACATACAAAAAGTGATTCGGAAACCGAAGCAGAACAGTCGAAAAGTAGTACCTAGTTTTCTCTTTCTTGTGTAATAAATTTCTAATTTTCTTGGAAAGGATTGCCAGTCCTTTTCCATGTAGCCAGCTGCTGGAGTGCAGCGCTAGAGCTACTACATATTTTAGGTGTTGAAATACACCAGCTTCTTCATCTTTCATATTCATAATAGTACTTTTGGTACTTTGCTATAAAATTGAACATCGACCTACAGCCGTGTTCCTTTTTCTTTTCTAAAATTAAGTTTTGCAGTCGCACATAGACTGTTTGTAATCAAATAGCAGCGGATAAGTTGCCGCTTTCCGCTGCACTAAAATCATATATTATTTTCTTTTTTCAAATTTTGTGGTTGCTTTGAATTCGCCTTCTGTGAAGGGTCTGCCAAACCATTCACGGCGGAGTAGAAGCGTTGAAACATAGCCCCGTAGGACTAGCGGTAGATCATAAATATTTACTTACCAAGCATCGAGTTGTGTCATTCTGTCCAGTCGGGTGGAAGTTTTCGCCCTAAGTAGTGCGGAATCAATTTGAAATCTATTGCGCACGCAATAGACGACGATGGATATTTCTAATAAATATTTTTTTAATCGCAGGTAGCACCTCTCTACTATCATACTTTTGTAGTTGACCACTTGTTTTTGTTAGTGATAGTATGTAATGCAAAAACCTTGAGCGGTTTGTGTGCAGCCAGCGGCATAATTCATAGTCCCTCTGGCTTCGTGCACAGCTTCCACACATACAAACAACACTCCATCCATGACAAGCTGCGCTGCACCTCAAACCTTGCCCAAAATTTCTGCAAGGTGTTGCTGATTTTAACATAAAAATAAATATCTGCCGCACTGTTGCTGACGTCATCCGTACTGCTAGAAGAAACAAAGCTCGAAAATCATAAGTATTATTTTTTCCTGTAGCAATCTGTCATGCGTTGCACTGTGGCGCTGTTCTACCCCTGGCTCGGGGGTTTCTTATCGTTCGGCTTCTTGACCGCCTTTTTGGCATTGGGTCCGGTCAGTTTCGGCACCGGACCTTTTCCGGGGATGATCAGCTTCTTGGGGGACGGTTTCTTCTTCCGGGCGGCCAGAACCGCGTCGCGGGTAGCCAATCCGTACGCCTCCATGGTCAACTCGATGTAGTACATTCCACCGATGACGTTGCTGATTCGCCTGAGCCAGGCCCGACCCTGCGGAATGTTGAACTCCCTGATCACGTACGGCGTCAAGTGCAGCATGGCCTGGGTGTCGATGTCGTCGATATTGGCACTCATTTTCAGCTCTGGCGCCAGCTTCGAGTTCGTCTCGTATCAGCTGGAAAAATGTTCTTTATCTACATCATTTTTGCGGTTGTGAATACATAGATACAGACGTCGACTGCATGACATCAGAAAAACGACGTAGGGAAGAACATTTTTCCAATTCATAGCGGTTTGTAACTATCGCCTCCCCAGTGGACCCGGATCGAATCCGAAGCATGCCCCTGGAATGTTAAGAATTCAACATGGTTTTGTGATGCTGAAACAACTCCTGTGCACAAAGACGGATACGAAGAGAGAGACGCGATAGCTTCGCGCCCTCAGAAAGCACTACTATGCAGAGTCAGAATCACAGTCCATCTTTGTATCATTTGGCACCGTATGTACTATTTGGATCTAGGTGGTTCATGGAAGCCTATTTATGAATATCCTGGTACCTGCTTGTTGCGGTGGCTCTTGAACATGGCCAGCACAGTATCAGCATCGCCA